CAAGTGATGGACTATAGCTTTAAATTCCATTTCATCTGAAGTCAGCAGTCATTAATTTTGTGTGGATTACACAACGCGTCATTACAAGTTTCTATTTACGAGTTTAATAGTGTTCGTAATCCGCCTATAGCAATTGAAATTCAGAATGATATCTCTGCGGTCTGTGTACAAGCCTTACATAGTCATCAAGAAACACAGCTAATTACATGCATGATAGCAGTCGGAATGCATGCTGTGAATCTGATGCTTTTCAAACATTATACTTGCCATGGTCCAATACGGTGTTTGACTCATGCACGATGTATGCGTAGGTTCGAAACCTGCCAGGAACATGGTGTTTGCATGTGCCCTTGGGCAAGACACTTAACTACAATCGTCTCCCTCAATCCAGAATAGGTATCTGTGAGGTTGGAGGACCGCAATGTGCGCTGATATCGGCTGCCGCGTGACCTCGGTGCCTGATGAACGAGGGAATAATTGTAAAGCGCTTTGTGATTGTCGATGCGACGGAAAGCACTATACAAGAACTACAATTTATTAATTTTTATATCCTACGATATAACATCAGACGATCTGCGGTCATATATTCTCATTTCTAAAACAGAAACTTGAAGACAGTCGGCTGGTAAAATTAAATTATGAGGATCACGGCTAACAATGTTTTTCCCGCCATGCTGTTGCTCTGCTGTTATCATTAGTTCTCAACGACATTTATCACAATAAATCTCATGGGTTTCCCTCCTTGATTGTTTCCCGTCCTTAATGGAGCCGCGATGCCCTTCTCCCTGGTGACATTAACATGAATTTAAAATTAAAATCGAGCAGACTGACTGTGGCTTCAGACTAATGTTTCATGTATCAGGGGATTGCCAAGACAAGGTCCACTTGATTTCAGGTTCAAAACCCGCTTGTCATTTTTCTTTGTTCAATACCCGTTTTCTTCGTGGATAAAAACCAGGAAAACTAAATTACTATAGACACTGACGATTCGCGCAAGAATTAAATGCCACCGTTTCGAAAATTCCCCCTTCTAAAGTTTCTACTGTATGTGCGTGCACCAAAGTAGCGTAGCCCAAGACGTCTTGGAAACAGGACGCCGGGTGCCTAGAGACTTGAATCGCACTTAAGGCTTGAAATTCTTTTCACCGAATGAGACGGATTGACGCGACAGTCCCCTCGCCTCACCTCTAGTGGCTTGCCCAGTTTAATTTACATCTTTGCGATGATTAAATTTCTTGAAATGCTATCTGAAGGAATTGGTTATAACTCAGAGACTGTAATATAACTCAGGTTCAAATTCTTCCTTGCCAGAATTCAAAGACTGGTCTGGATCATTTGTGTCGAATGGTGCGAATTCTAAATCGGTTATCTTAATTCGGTTCATAATAATTCAGCCCAAAACGTCCTCCACAACGGAATAATAGAATGTCGTATAATGTCGTGACGTAAAACTGGATGAACACATAAATGTAATACGAACACCTCAGTGGCGTATCAGGCAGGGGCCATATAAGGTCACCATCCCCCCGCTCGATCCCCCACCCCCAAGTCACTTCAGAAAATAAGTCCAAGTCCCCCCCCCCCCCAGTGCCCCCTGCAACGAGAACGCTATTGGATCGCTTTTCAATAAATAAGAAAACTCGTTTTGAAAGTTCACTCGGTATGGTCCGGAATCACAGAAATCAAGTTCTTTGTACTTTGCCGGAAGCGAATATGAATAATTTAGACACTGAAATTCGTTGCCTCGAGTAAGGTCCCTACCTGTATTGACATCACAATACCATTAAATTCACTGCGTAGGAAAGAACAATGTGAGAACATAAATCAAACACTGTAATCTTCCCCGGGGATCGGGCAAAATGAATTTAACATGAAACTTTTATTTGATGACAAAATTGGTTTTGAGAGGATGAATTCTGTAGAGTCGACGACGCGAATGTAGACCGGGGGCAAAGTGATCAACCTGACCAAACAGGGAACAAACAACCGTAGGAGGAAAAACACGAGGAAATAAGTGAAAAGAGTCGTTATGAAAGCCGAAGGGCAAACGTATCCTCAATATTGTCTGATAAGAATGCTAAAGGAAGAAGGGGAAATGTTGAAAGGTCTCTGACTTTGAGCTTGAAGATGGCCGGTAGATTATAAAAATGACTGGTGATTGGTTGGGGCTATGCAGCAGCACGGCCAGATACAATAATCATGTACATTTACATGACAACCAGTCAAGCTACCGACCGACCCACAAACAAACAGACTAAAAGTGAACAAGCATCCCTCTTTAATACCAGAAATAAAATGCTTTTCTTATTGAACCAATTGAAATGAACAAGAATATAACTTTATTAGCCCATTATCTAAATAGCTCCGATCCCTCGTACAAAATTCCTGTTTCTTTGATCCAGTGTTTAAAAGTGCTCGTTTTCATAGGATCCCCGCCCCTCCTTGAAATATTCCCCTTCGATAAATGTATCGATGGTCATAAAAGCTTCCTCCGAAGCGCATCATCGCCTCACGCCCAACCTAGCAGAACGAGTCCATAGATCTGACGTGTGATACCATGATGACGATTAGTGTCTTGTAAGGTTAGATGCTGATGGTCTCATGAGAATATTCGCCTGCAGCTGCCTACACGATTATTCGGGAAATGACGCCAACCGAGGCGAACTGAAGAAGTGTAGGCTAGTGGTTAAAGAGACTCGTGATCTGAAGGTCAGGGGTTCGATTCCTAGCTGTAGCTGCCAGCCATAATGACTGATGTCTTCCAGCAGACAACTCCACACCACGTGCATCTTTCCACCACCGGGTAAAACCTACGATGAACTGACATTCCATCGGGGGGGGGGGGGGAGAAATATTCTCAGTCGTTTCTTGACACGGAAGCGGAGATATATGCAATTATTTTATTTATGCAAAGAAAGTATAGTCAATGACCATAATGCGCATGCGTCAGTTGGTAGTGGAATGGTTCTCGGACTTGACTTCCCTTTGAAAATCCTCCAGAGGCATAAATGTGAAGAGTAGGCTGAATTTATTTTATCGAAATCGAACACCAGAAGTATATTAAACACAGTTTTTTAGGAAACAAAATTCACCTTTGGGGAAAAAATTAAAACGTACAATTCCCTTTAGGAATTGAACCTGGAACCTTCAGCATTCAGATCGGCGATTTCACGCACACGCCACCTGACTGTCGTGGAATCTAAGCTACAAGAACCTATTCCGAATCAGGTGATATATTTAGTTATTAACGTGATGTGATTGACGCATGCGAATTATGGTCATTAACTCTATTTTTTTGCATCAACAAAAATAGCCGTTTTATGATGAGCTGAACTGTTTAATCCTATGCTTTACAAAAACTTGGCTTTGAGACAGAAAAAACGCGGACGAGAATTGCTGCTAGGCTCTCATGGGTGCCTTGTCGGAATTGTAATGATCACATTGATTGGATTTAATCATAAGAACGCTCGAGTAGGCCTCTACTGAGCCAGCCACCGGGTATGCATACAACATGTCGGGGTCTACCCGATGTTCAATACCTATGTTCCCCAATACCGACGTTCCCCGAATCCTTAAGATTAGAGTTAGGGTCAGGGTTAGGGTTAGGGTTTGGGTTTGGGTTAGGGTTATATGGTAAGGATTTCGGGAAGATCGGTATTGGGGAACAAAGGTATGCACCCCAACATGTCTACCCATTTTGCGACATGAAAGTCTAGCACGCAGACTTTGTATGTTCTACTATGTTTCGCACACGCTACTATATAAGGGGGCATATTAATACTAATTACTACATACCAATTGGAGAGTTGATATCTTCTGATTGGTCGAGACTCGATCACATGGGGGTGCATTAACATGTGATATGATGACCGGAATCAAGAACAAGTGAATATATGGCCCCTGAACCTGAACGTTTACCCAGTGGAGCGAATTCATCAAAACAAATTATGGAATGGGCATTATGCGTGGCAAAACAAGGGGACACAATAACCTGGAGGGGGACAGAATAAACGATTTGGAGGACACTTTCACCTATGTAATTCCCATGGGCGTCACCAAGATTTTTCCCATGGGGGGGGGGGGGAGAAGCACATTTCCCCCAGAATTCCTTAACATTTTCCACATAATTCTCAATGTATCATTTTTCCAAACGTGTGCAGGGCAACATTTGCCCTACCTCCCCCATCAAATTAACAGCAATAGGGCTTTCTCTCTCTTTCTTCGCACCTCTCTTTCCCTTCCCGAATTCCGTCTCCGAATAGTTTTCCCGGGGGGCAGAATAACCGTCTAAACCTTCCGTTGTGATTAATTATTGCGTACATAAAGTAATTGAATTGTTATAACTCCACCCTGCAATTGTGACCTATCGCCGTTTGGCACTTTGTACGTTAGGTTTTGTTTGTCTCAGATTTTGAACGTTCTGCGTCCATTTGTCCATTATGTAATTGGACAATATTTCACAAGCTGCGTTGATGCGTTTCTAACGCGATATGTCACTTGTAAAGGTCCTTTTGCAGTCATGTTTCTTGAAGGGGGGGGGGGGGGGGGGTTTGCAAGCCTGTAAAATAAATATATTGGCCTTGGCTCAACAAACAGCTTCGCCTGCGACAGCCTGTTGCCCGGTCCTTACTTACTGGATTCTGACATGGGGCGGTACTTAAAAGTGAATAACAAATTTTGGATTGCTACAAAACAGCGATTCAAAAGACATTTCAACATTTTTCGGGGGGAAAAAGCCCCCGCACCCCCCCCCCCCCCACAAGAAAAGGACAGTACATCTTCAATGAAAAAAAGGAGACAACTCAGCATTTTAGTGGCATAATACTGGGGCGGAAATCAGTCTACTTAAAAGTGAATAACAAATTTTGGATTGTTACAAAACAGCGATTCAAAAGATATTTCATCATTTTTCGGGGGAAAAAAAACCCCGCGCACCCCCCCAAGAAAAGGACTGTATTTCTTCAATGAAAAAAAGGAGACAACTCAGCATTTTAGTGGCATAATACTTTATTCAATGATAATTTGTGTTTCTTTCCGAAAAGAAGTTACGCCTCCATATATGACCTTACGAAAAGTTTTAAACACCATTTCTTTTCCCGTACTAACCAATACACATTTAAACACAATCAAATTTCTAGAGAACTTCTTTTAACTTCTTTTGAATTTTATAATGCTAGCTGCCAGTAGCCTGACGATCCTCAAATTTTAGTGCACTGGACCGGTACATCTTGCTCTCCTGAAATAGGAAGAAGTAAACAAAAAAGAATGACCACTTAATGCTTGTTACTTACGAGCAACAAATTATATTATTCACAAACAACATGCCCTTTCAAAGTAATAAATATTTTCTTGGTGCTATTCAGAACCCCAATAGTCTCAAAACAGACCAGATTCAGAGCCACGGAAAGTTAATCAAAATGCACTGTATTTTCCATATAATGTGATGTTGCTTGTTAAGTCCCACTCTCCATACTACTTAGCCACCTCCTCCCTTCAAACGATCCGACTGGACGTCCTTGAATTCCCCTAGCACTCCCCATTTCCTTCAATCCTCGTTTATTTCCTTTTCAACCAACGCCATGTGAGATCTTTAATCAAAGAAGGCTACACATCTCCCAGAAGACACGGTAAAGATTAGTTTCCAACTCCCTCACAGGCACGAATCGGAACCCGCTACTCAACAGAAGTGTTTTTCTTGTGTATTTGCGGGATTTTGTCGTTAGTCGGGACAAACGCTCGGTGTTTTGTTTCTCCTTCGTATCGTTTACCTAATTCACCTCAGGGCACTTCAAGCCAAAAAAGATCCTTTTTCATTGGAAATAGGATCTGCAGAAATCTCAGTGAATTTAGCATCAATATCTTAGATTCTCTTCTGGCGAATGTTGAAAGAATTTGCGTTGGAAGACAGAAAATGGGACGAGTTCATACTTTTACACGTGGGCAGGTGAACTGGCTATATTTTTGTTTATTTTAGCCAAAAGTGCGATATTGAGGATGGGGTTTTTATAACTGCATTATAAAAATGAAAAGTGTTCTGTAAACCTGTGGTAAGAGCGATGACAACCATCGTAAGCAAATGACGTATATTCTTTTATAATAATTCTCGCACCTTGAAAACAAATAGTTTGTTTTTCAGTAAAAAACGGTGTTACCATGGAGATCAATGTCATATATATCCAACACGATTGGGAGAGTCACGTCAGCAAGATGCGCATGCACAATGCAAGCCTTGAGCCACGTAAAAAACAACTACCATCTGAAAAGACCATGCATTTTCATCCCCTTATAATCCCCTCCCAAGAACTTGGCCCTTCTTTTACGCGGGCAATGACAATGACCTAACCTTACCTGAGCTTATTCTGTGGAATGACTGTGTTGGCGTTGACTTTGATTGTAGTGACGTACATGCATTGGCAGGTATAGTCAGGATGCTGTGGATTGATGACAACCGGACCATGACCGTCTGGTACACAGACGTCTTTTTGCTTCCACGGATCGTAACCCCAGCAGTCGCTCACTCCTAGACATTAAAATAAATCGAGATGACCCAACCATTTTTCAAACCTCAGCTTGATCTCCAGCTTTGGCCCGGGACTTTTCATTATTATATAGGAATCGTCTCAATAAATATCCGGGATGAGTTGCGGGCACGATTATCCGCAATAGGTCCATAATGGTCCATTATGACTGTTTATTTTTGAATCACTATTTAACTTTTTAGAATGGACGATAGATGAAAACATGGTTATCAAAAACTCAATCTTGCCTTTACCATAAAAAAGTACGCAAAATCATCAGTGTCTACATGAAGGTAACTTTCACGAATTTCAACTGTCTATATGTTTTAAATACTGAACAGCAACGCCCCTCTCTTTATTGATATTTGCCAAAGATACTTTTGCATTCAGGAAAAAATCGAAGCTCATCACCCCCGAAACTGCACAATCGTGGCCTACTGCCAATTTTTGCAATAGGCTGGTTGCGCACAAACATTGACGATGTGATTTTGAATGCACGGGGACGGGATTCAGAACTACCAACGTGTGGTACCTATGGTACATCATGCATATAATTTGCATACATGTATTCAGGATTCACTGCTCGCTACCTGTCTCCATATTTGAAGTTCGAAGGACAATGGGGACAGGGAACCAGACTACATGTACTTCTTATACCATACATGACCTTGAATTACCTTTCTTGCAGTAGGGACAGCCGCATTTATCCACCTCATAGTGCACGCATCTGCTCTCAAACTCACACACGTTGCTGTTAGCTGAGCAAGCAATGACTGGTCTCTCGCCGTTGGCCCTGGAAATGCATCTACAGGTCCGTCTACACTGGTCCCCGTCATAGTTGGGCACGACAACGCCAGGGGCGTAGTGCTTTTTCTGGTACTGGCAACAACCCGAGTAGTCGCAATCGCAACCTCTGTAACATGGACAATAATCGTGTAGATCATTCAAACGCCTCAAGTACGAATGAGTACGACGGTGGTCCGAATCCACAAATTCGTAGTGCAAGTCTATTTTGTGTACGGCGCTATATCGCCATACTATTGCGTCATATCGCCGTGCCATTGCGCTTTTATACAACACCTGAATAAATCCTAGTCATCTGATTGGTGGTTCGTTGATCACATGTCATTGAATTATTCGTACCAACGCACGGCGCGCGCGTGGCGCGCAGCGCACAGTGCAATGGAAGTTCTATTGCACTGTGATTAGAACTTCCATTGCACGGTGTCGCTGCTGCTGGTGGTGTCGCTGCTGCTGGTAGTGGCGCTGTTTTAAACCGAGATAAATTGAATATGATTAAGGGAATAAATGTGTGCTCTGGAGGTTTTTATCACTCTGTTTAAGACCACTTAGAGTCTGGGGGCTGATAATTACCCGAGCCGGAGGCGAGGGTAATTATCAGCACCCAGACTGTAAGTGGTCTTAAACAGAGTGATAAATACCGACGGAGCACATATTTATTCCCATTCATAAATACCTTTTAGGTAAGAAAAATCATATAATTCGTTCAAAACATCCCGATTTTATTTAACAACTTCACTTTATGCTTTTTGAAACATCCCTCTTGCAAAATAATGGAGTGTTCAGCTGGCGAGTAAGATGTAAACAACCCTTTTATGGAGATTGACGCGCGTGTGTCATGTTCTGCGCGATGTCGCTCAGAACGCACCTGGCGCGTTGCGTTTTGAATTTAGAACTATAAAATTCTGACTCCCTGGTAGTGTTGCGCATGCCTACGTGAGGATTGTGAACGTTCAACCAATGAAACGATAAGAGGCACTGGGTTTTTAGGAGTCCACATTTTATTGTGACACTGGAAAAGTGTTTAAGACCAGCTAGCCATGTCTTTATCATCCGTTTAAGACCGGCCACGTGACGGGCTCTCGACCAATAGGAATATCTTATTTGATTCTTTGTGTTAGCAGCGTCAGCATCACCTACAAGTTCCAATATTTCGTCTTCTGCGAGTCGAGGAGAACAAACGGAGATTCTCTCGTATCGTCCGCCAATTTGCCATTCTGTGAATCAGATTCGTGTTACAGCGCCACCACCGGCAGTAATGAAACCGTGCGATGGAAGTTATATTCACAGTGCCGTAGAACTTCTATTTTTGCGGTGCGGCCGCGCCGTGCGTTCGGAAGAATATTTCAATGACATGTGATCAACGATCCCCCAATTAGATGACGGGGATTTATTCAGGTGTATAAATGCTACATTACTGCGATATAGCACAATAGTATGGCGATATTACGCCGTAAGAAAAAATAGATTTGCACTGCGAATGAGGTGTCGTCTCTTTGATGTTACATCCGTGTGTCCATCCTGTCAGTCTATTAGCAATACATGTATCTGTACACGTCCCCGTCCAATGAAATTACCCGTTTCAGAGTGACGTTGTATTATACAGTATTAGGAGAGACTCAACTAGACCCATACAGTTCTGGTTTCAGACAGGCGCAAACTTCATGTATGAACTTTCAAAATGACTACTGATCTTTCGATTTCGGTCCTTTCCGTTCCTAACGATGAATTTTCAGGAACTAAATGAAACAATTGTGTTTGGTAGTACCAGGGCGGCGGAACGCTTTTCGACTGGGTAGGGGGAGGGGGGGGGGGGGAACGCCAAAAAGAGGTACTTGCTCAGAAAAGGGGGCACCTTCCGTCGGTGTGGAAGTGGAGGAAAAGAATATGGTCCCGTTCATTTTGCTATAAACCTATATGACGAGGAACAAATTATGAATACTTTGTCCATCTTGCTCTTTGTGTTTCTTTTACCTAGTTGTGTGGAGAGACCATTTTGTTCTAATAGCGAGAGGGGCACTATTGCTTTGGAAGGCCAGTTCAGTGACCGTTTTATTCGTGTGAAGAACACTGTTTTGTTTAGGGGCCAGTTTTCCATCTTGAGAGGGGGCACAATTTTAATGTTGCGAGCGGGGCAATAATTGTGGTTTCGAGGGGCAGTTTTCCATCTCCAGAAGTTATCGCGAGAGGAGCACTTTTATTTTATGGCCAACTTTCCATCTCGAGAAGGGCACAATTACATATTTGCGAGAGGGGTATTTTTGCTTTCGTGGGGTAGTTCTCCATCTCAAGAAGGTGCACAATCTTGTTAATGTGAGAGGGGTACTTGTGTTTTGGAGGGGCAGTTTTGCATTACCGTAGAGGAGACATTTTTATTATTTTAGTTTGGTTTCATACGTGTACATTGAGGGGCAGTTTTGTTTTCATCTCGAGGGGGCACATTTATAACTGCGAGAGGGGCACTTTTGTTGGCCTGGGAAAATCTGCCCCCCCCCCGTTCGCGATTTTTTTTTCTCCCAAACGACATCCGCATATGGGTGTACACTATGGTGTTTTGGACTTAACTTTTAAAAAGATGAGAAGAAAATATAAATTAGAAGCAAATAAAATGAATTCGAACGTTTTGAAATTTGGACTTAATTTCCCTTTCAAAAAATCCTCCAAAGTCTCATGTTAGAAAATAAAATAAATTCGGGTGCAAAACCGTGTTTGAACCCGCAACCTCGCGTTGCAAAATCTCGAACCTGTCTCGACTGAGCTATTGCACTGCTCGCCCAAAAATTTGGAAAAAAATAATTATATACCTGCGTAGGAATCATAAAAGTATCGTAGAGGGCGCTAAATAACCATGTATGCGGATGTCGTTTGGGAAAAGAAAATTCGCCCCCCGTGCTGCCGCCCCTGGATAGGACAGTTTTGATTGTGACATAAGAAAATGACACTTTGGTTAGCGTTACCTTTTTGCATCCGATAAGTTGCAAATGCGATGTTCGTGAATCGTACGAAAGTGTCTGAGCTAAAAACGTGTATAGCGCCCTCCCGTGATTATGAATCTAGAAAATTAGATTCCAATTTCACTCGCATTCTTTCTGAAATCATTGCGATAAATCTCTCAATTATTTCGTCGATCAAACTTAAAATCCCAGGTAAAACCCAATTTTCTTAATCATCTGTGTGCCGTCTCTCAAAGGTCATGCGTAGTAGATAATAAAAAACCACGGCATTTAACCACGGCCTCCACGGCCTCCACTGCCTCCATCACAGCCTCGATTACTGTACACAGCTCCCATTCCACAGCTTAAAGTTACACGACAACTCAGCCTTTATCAATCAATCAACCTATCAAGCTGAATTACTGTCTTCGTCATTTAATTTTGAGAACAATCAGTAAATAAAGGAGAGCAAATCACCAAATCATAGACTCGTCACCAGTCTCCTGTCCTGCCCTTTCTTTCAGTGATCTTAAAAGAAGTTTCTATACATCGTTTGGAGCTCATTTGCAATCACGTCGTAAACAGTCAATGGTACGGCATCCAGACTTCGTTAAAACTATTTTTTTTTTCATTACAAGTGCACTATGACACGTTGTCATGGTTCATCATTTTTTACGATAGCCTTGTGATAAACTCGGTTACAATGCTGGTTTGCTTTTGCATTGTTATTAATTAAGCCGTTGCCTAAATTGCCTCACCTGTCGACTACCTTTGCTGGTGCACTGTACCAGGTCACAGACGTACACCTGCATTTGGCGCAGCCGCCTAACAGCGTGTCACCGCCATCAGGTATGATGAGGTAACTAAACCGGTCCTGTGGGGAGGGCACGATACAATTGCCTCCCGTGACTGGAGAACCTGGTATAAAGCCTAACGGGTAGCCTGGGCTTGAGATCAGAGGAGAGGGTAGGGCAGGGTAGCCCTCGAAGGGAATCACTCCACCGTCGCTTCCTGGAGATAAAAACACAATGCCATTTTAATCTTCAACATTTACTGAGAAATGGTATATTGGACAAAATCAAGAGACCTATTCTGTGTCACCAAGTCACACTCTTTTATTTTCAATTTTAGGTCATGACATCCTTATCAATGAGTAGGGATTTTGTTTCAAATTGGTTTAACCATGCAGTCTCAAGACCACGTAGTGTAAGAACAGTATCTTTTTCCAAGAGGATGTTGATTTAACTGCCAACAAGTGCTCGGGGAGTCAGGTTGGCGCGGTGGTTACATCTCTCGTCTTCCATTGCTGTGTGTTTTCAGTCCCTACCTGATTCCGTGGGTTCCGATTTCCTCCCACCTCTCAAACTGTCATTTCTTCTCATTAGGGAGGTTTCGCAAGCGAACGGATACGCTTACACTTACGTTTAGCTATTCGTATCCATTTTTTACTTACATGTAGCGAGCGAGATATGCGTGTCGTCTGCACGTTTAGCGGATAGTGAGTGGCGTATGACGTCATAATTGATGACGTATCCGTCGCACTAAACGTATCCGTTTGCATGCGAAACCTCTCTAATGTCTTCTTCTGACAGGTTTTTTTTTCTGGCTTTCGTGCCACAGTGCCGAAAACGCTTCTGAGAAATCCTTGGTTTCATACCAAAAAGATATAAATAAATAAAAGGAAAAAGCGTTTGGCCCATGGGCGTCGTCAGGATGGGGCAAGGGGGCGCTGCCCCCTCCCTCCCCCCGAAAAAACCCAAACAAACAAACAAACAAACAAACAAACAAACAAGGGGAACAAAAGAAATAAGAAAAGAAAAGAAAAGAAAAGAAAAAGAGGTGTGAAGTCATATTTGCTACTTATTTTAATAATACACATATAACAAACTGGGCGTCTTCAGGGTTGTCAATGGGGGTGGGGTGGGTAAATGTCTCCCGTCCACCCTCAAATATGCTAGAGAAAGTACAAGGACTTTTGGGAAAACAATTGCTGTGCCCCCCTCCCCCTAGAAAAACCCTAGCGACGCCCGTGGACTTTGGTCTATGATGTTCTTCCTAAAGTGCACACATGAAGTGTTATCGTCGGTGACTTATAGTGTGAGACTTAAACTCACCATCGTTTTTGAAATTACGGTAACGGTTCTATTAATGAGACACTTCCATGCCTGAAATTTCACATGTGCGATATATATAGCTCTAGAACACGTCACTAAAGGGGAGTGCATTGTATGAAATACCAAAGCGAGCTATGAAGCGTCCAAGTGATGGAGGACAGCCAGCTCAGTAATCATAAAAAATGGCCAACTTTAGGACTAGTGGTACCCATCGCTCTTACCCAATCGCTCGTGACCAAACACCTTCACCTCGCACAAAGTCAGGAACTCCTTTCTCTTACGGATCTGCACGCTGACGAAGCGCCCCCTCGTGTCTGCCGGACACTCTCTGGTTATCTTGGTACCGGCTTTCGCTTCGGATTTCGTCACAGGCCCCCCGCAGCGGCGGTTCCTTGCGGCGACAGTGCTGCCTCCAACTCGCACCTCAGCGCCAATGAGTCGTCTACCTGATGAAGTTACCGCAAAGTTCAGATTCATTGCACATAATGTGCCGAAGAAATAGCTGAATGAAACACGCTAACGAAGGTGCATTTTTTTTCTCTTCAATTAGGCCTGTAATCACCATCTTTCTAAGTTCCACGTCATCTTTCTTCTGATCCCGAGTTTTTTTTTTATGTTTTGATTTTACCGTTTATCAACATCTCTATTACTCGATGAGATTTACAGTTGTCATAAGATTGCTTTGGTCTCAAAGCACTTACCAAACCTTCCGGCTCGATTAAAAATAACGACTTTCGTGACGACGAAGCTGTTTCCCAGGTCCAACTTCCACCACGGTTGATATTGATTTGCTAATCAAGAAAATCAAGCGAAATAGCTTTGAATATAAAAGGACTGGCACAAAGAAATGACATACTTTCTGATTTTTGTTGTTGTTAAGTTTGCGGGTATAGATTAATATGGCAGGAATCTGGGCAGCAATTATGTCTTTCAAAATAACTTATTGGAGGACCGTTTAGGACAAATAAAGAAGGCATGACTTATTGCTAAATATTACACTTGTAACTTGTGGTAAATTTAGAGCTTACTTTGCCGGGAAAAGTACAATGTATGTTCCTCATTGTTAGGAAGGGAGCACGCAATCATTGCATGCCCATAGTTTTCCCGAATAAAAAGCTCTGTTTATCTTGACGAAATCGGAGATGGGGGGGGGGGCACACGATGATCACCACGGTGTACCCGTGCCGCAGTAAGTGCTACGAACCATAGCCTGATAATGTGTGAATCTGTTGGAAGGCAATTGTTTTATTCCCTCCCAAGACACGTTAATGATGAGACACCAACAGTTTAAAAATCATAAAGTCTGTCACGAGCTAATTACAGCCCATCAGGCCAGCGTTTGTCTCCGGTTTTCTAGGCATGGAACGATTGAGAATATTTCTATCCCTTTGGATGGGATGCCAGTCCATTGCCGGTTACTTCATAGCTAATAAAATAATACCAAGGATCGTGGAGAGAGGCAAGTAGGGGTGAAGTGGCTTGCCCAAGGACAAAACGTATGGCCAGCAGCTGAATTCGACTCCTGACCCTCTGATCATGAGTCACGCTAACCACTTGGCCACATTCGCCAACCAGACAACAGCATATCTACAAAGGACAAGCATTGGATTTCTTACCGGTATGAGTACAGGTGTTTCCACGGAAGAAGTTCCCATCCGTTTTCCCGTCAACGGCGAGATTCGCTCCCCGGGACTTGCCCCTGTAGGTCTGGGTCGAAATCTGCCAGGCAATACGATTCTTTGACAGCAGCACTGACTCTATTTTGTCAGGAAAGAGGCAGTTTAAAATAAAGTGGCGATCAAATCTACGCTTTCAACACACCGTTCAGTGTTAAATTTGTTAATATGCTGGTTTTTGGTCACATCAGTTTTCGATGAAAATGTGGCAGGTTTTGAACCTGAAAACCTGAACCTGGAACTTCTGTTTGCAATCCCCTGAATGATACACCAAACGCTAGTCGGAAGATATGAAACCAGAGCACCGCGGCTCAATTAAGGACGGGAAACATTCACGAAGGGAAACCCATGAGATTTAGTGAAGTATAAGTGATAAATGTCGTTGAGAACTAAGGATAACATCAGAGCAACATCATGGCGACGAAACCTTCTTAAGGCCGGTTCATACTCGGCGTGAAAGCGAACGCGAACGCGAATTTGTGACGTCAGAGCAACTTTTCGCCCTCCGAATACGCAGAAGTTGAACACATTTCGCAGCAAATGCTTCGTTCCGTCAAATTCGCATCGCATTCGCATGAAGTATGAACCGGCCATAAGACGTGATCCTCGTAATGTATTTAAAGCCGGTGTCAGGTCGACCTTGCGACAACACAGATCAGTCGGCAACTGACTTTTCAGGATCAGGCTGTGCCTGAGCTACGACCGTCGGGAACATTTCAGTCGCCGATTTTTTTTGCGACCTGAGTATAACTGCGACGATATTAAGACGATCGGAATTAGTCGGGTCTCAAAAAAATTAACAGTCGCAAGAATAGAACAAACTTCAACTTCTACGACGACGTCGCGATCGTGCGCGCATCAAGTTAATCTCTTTAATTGTTTAGCCAATCAGCACACTACCCTGGCGCTCCGCGCGTTCCGCGCAACATCACGCAGTATGCACCACGCGCGCGGCAATCATCATATAAGGAGATTGTTTACTACTACTCGCGAGAGAATATTCCATACCATAGCTAGAGGGGTGTTTAAAAAAAGCAATGAAGTAAAACTGTTGAACAAAATCGTTGCAAATGTATAATTCTTGACTTGTGTCGACTGTTTGACTCAAACGTATTTGTGAATGTGAATTCAAGTACATTTAAGACCGTATCAGGGGAATGCGCGCTGATAATGGCTTGAGCCGAACCGACCAAGCACATAATTATTCCCTTATTGTCAAAGAAGCCACATGACTGTCTTTGGCCAAGTTCGGGCAAGGACCATTAGTCGACTAGTGGTTGATTTGTTTCGTACCTTACGCCTGCGCACTGATAGCAACGTGCGAACGTCTCTAGTCAAACCACTGATCAGTGAGTCAAACGCTGGTCAAAATGTCATCGCAAAACTTCTGGATCCTGGCTCTCTGCTAGCGTTATGAATGCGCGCGGCTATTGGTTACCAGCGAAGCAACCAACCCCAGTAGGCTGGTTCCAAATAGTCGACTAGCGTAGTCAACCACCGTCGACTAGACAGAGTTCGGGCAAACGTTAGTTAACCATTGGTCAACTATAGTCCTTGCGCGAACTTGGCCTTTGCTGTGGAATCGTGGTGGATCGTCGCGTCTTGGGTGACATGAGCATGGTTGAGAATATTTTGCGATTTCTCAGTTTTGTGACCTGAGTATTATTTTTGTGCTTGATGCCGACGGTTCCGTCGTGGCGCAAGCAAATCACAGGTCGACCTGAGGCCGGCTTTACTCCTCCGAGTCCGCCGACTGTCTTCAAGTGCTTTCTAGTATAAATCTGTTTTACAAGTAAAACGAGAACCAGCGAAACTTGGAGTAAATCATGGTCACCTCTAGTCTATGGTTGATCTCCTTACGCATCAAGGGTCTATGATATTGGAGCAGATTCGGCGCTTAATATACGACAAAAGACTGCGTCTTGACCTCGAGATTCTGAACATTCAGCAGGCGCCTTGTATCAGGTCTTCTGCAACCTTGTAGTATTTTTTGCAAAAACATGGCAGTCAAATTGACAAACAAACAGCTTAGTCCACATTTCTGACCGAAATGACCTCACAATTTATAAAGTGGACTCCGATTGAATGTTGTATGGGGTCGCATACAATTTGTATGCTCAGATATATCAGACGTTGATTACAGAGAGGGCTCCGTTGAACAACGGATGGTACTCAGACTAGATCGCCTTTCAGTGAGCGTCGAAATGTATGATAATATGTGCGACGAGTTCTTTACCACATCATCAGGGATGAACAGAATTAGACCTTTAGACACCGATACAATTTGCAATCACTCTTGAATGTAGCACACTACATGGAATACTGCATGCATCAGTTAGCACTTGCGGTGGATGCATTTCCGCCCACTGTGGATTAGATAGCCGGTGGCTCGTGTTAATGCGCGCTAAAATTTATTACAGTTGAACTGTAGCTACCGACCAAACTGCTAGCAGGCTCTAATTTAGGCTGGCGGAGTGTTGCGAGCTAGTGAAACCCGCCCGTGGTAAAATATAAGGGGACAAGGTGGCACGGACACTGCCAGGTTGCTGGTTGTTGATATAATCAGCGTCTGTTGATCATCCCCAGACCCTAAAAATCAGGCTCTGCGTTTATCTTCAACCATATGAAGGCTGCCTTTGCAAGGAAGAAGAAGGGGAGGCAAACTGGAGTGGATGCAAGACCACCATTTGAGGGAAGAAGGTCGGGAAATTTCGATATAGTTTTGCCATCTTAAGGGGGAGCAAATATTTTGATTCTGCAAACAAGACAAGTATAGTCTACCACCATTTGAGGGAATAAGGTCGGGAAATTTCGATATAGTTTTGACATCTTAAGGGGGAGCAAATATTTTGTTTCTGCAAACAAGTATAGTCTATGAATTGTAATACGCATGCCTGAAACGTATCACGTGGAATGAATAAGTACGCGTCATCGGATTTGAAATTACTTCTAAAAGTTTATATTCTCCGGCGGATAGCGTGGATGTACGGTGGCGTGCTACGCTAATCCGGTGATTTAAGTGCTGCAGGTTGCGGATTCGAATCCCGAATTTGTTCATTATCATTTTTCTCCCGCAAAAGTATCAAGTCCTATTGATCGATAAAATAATATTCATCTTTTCTTTTCTCATAATGGCTCTGGAGGATATTTCTAAAGGGAAATTAAGTCTGCTACCAACTGACGCATGCGCATTATGGTCACAGACTATACTTGGTTGCAGAAAAAGTAATAGCAAACGGGAACATGTTTGTACAAGACGTCTTTTTTCAAAACTAATGTCCGATTAAGTGACAAGTCACAATTGGTTATTGCTTTGGTTTTTTTTAACAAAGGACATCGGAACATATTCATCAAGTCTACTCGACTTTGTTCTTAAGTAAAGGTTATTTGAATCTGTGCCGAAGCTTAATGATGTAACTTTTGGATAAAGTAAACCTGGCAAACTGGCAATATTTCCTTCCTTATCTAACACAAACATTAGCTTAGCCTGTATGAACAAGGTGGCAAGTCCGCTTCGAGTTTCCAAAGAACAAAAATGGTTTAACCGGGCGAAAAGATGATTTAACCGGGCTCCAAAAATGGTTTCAGAGTGTGATATGGACTAGTGCAAGTGCAATTTGCAAGTTTGCAACAAATGTTGCTGTTGAGATTTGAAAGGATTTTCCATTCAAGTGCACGGCTTCACTTGCCCACCTGTAACTGGAGGCCATATCCAGCCACCGGGTCGGCACTTGGGGCACCCGCAGGTGTCGGTGATTGGATTAACGCACAGGTTGGTATACGTGCACTGCTTGTTCACCGCGCACACAACGTGGCCGGTGCGGCCGAAGAGAGAAGCGAAGCACCGGCACTGGGTCTTGCAGGGGCTCAGGTCTGGCACCGGGTTTCCTGCCTGGTAGGTCTTCCCGCTGACGATACACGTACGTCCTGATTGGATTTAAAAAGTGAAATACACCAACAAATGTTAAACATCCACATTTCCTTTTCATCAACTTAACTCCAGTGCATAGGCATTACGTAGAAGGGGAAGGGGCAGGGGACGTGCTATCCCGTCTCCAATATGTTTTAGGGGGCGGGGACACCAGTGACGATGCCCCGAGTGCATAAATACATTTCTTACCAAACCTTTTACCTACATCTTAACATTATGTGTAATACCGATAAGATATTGAAATGGAAGAGAAATTATCGCTGCTGTTTGTTTTGATAATTGTAATATACGCCACTTAATATACCTTTCTGTGTTAACGCCATTTCATAGGCCTATACCTTTTTGTGTAACATTTCGTATAATGTTACGCGGAGAAAATCTGTCAACAAGCAAGAAAAGAGGCCCTCAGCACAGATCTCTCCTCTACTTTGTCAGCATATTAAGTAGTGTACAAGCATCAGATGACAGCATTGACATCATCGTTGCGTTCGCCATGAAAGGATTAGTTGACTGTCTGGGATACTCGTCAAAGGATCGAGCAACGGGCAATGATTGCCTGCAAAGCCGCCATTGAAACTGATACTCCAACCAAAAATTACACTGCGTCAGTGGATTTGAGTTTCACCATGTCTAAACCATAATATTTTAAAAGGCTGTTCTTGTCGGCATGACTCAGTAAATTTACAAATAATGTTTTCCAGGAACAGCAAGATTGCCTCATCCAGCTACAATAATTGATTTTTTTCCAGATAACTGAGAAATTTGGGAAGGGGTGGACATTATAATTTTGATATTACTGGCGCTGTTTGGGGTTCAAATTTAAGTGGACTAGTCAAAATTAGCTGTATTTTATGCAGCGTCTCTGCCAGGTCCAACTGTATATTACATTTACCTTTTCCATTTATTTCCTTTAAAACGAAATAATGATTTTATTGTATCGTTTTTCTGAGGGCAGGGTGGCGGGAATGTTTGGTAGGGGGTTGGTTTAGAGAGTTGACCCCCGCAACCACCCGAGCAGCCAATTGACAATACATTGGGTCACCGTTATTTCAATATCATTATAAAGTAACGTCTTTACAAATCACAAAAATAACAGGTTTTACGATATCCCAAATGCGTCTTCCAATTAGGAATCATCTGTAGAAACGTTATAGAAACATTGTAGAAACGTTCGTTAAAACACTTTTGGGCAATGCCATTTGTATCAAATTACCTATATTATTGTCTAATAATAATTGACCAAGCTTTTTGAGACTTTGCCCAAAAGTGTTAGCCGTTGGTACATTGACCAACATTCGACATTTGAACACCAACCCATTTGTCCAACCTTTTGCGAATGTCAGAACTCCCTACTATTACTAATTATGAATTACGGAATGCGATGTTATGGTGACGACACGCAGAATCTTTCCGATGAAAACTAAACATCCAATACGTCGATACCAAAACACTGACAAACTAAAAATATCAACGAATCCTTTTTCAAAGACAGATTTATTTTAAGGCGGTGAAATTCACCAACATTTAGTGTTACACCTTGCATTTGTGTTTCCGTGGCGTATGTTAAGGAGAATACACGAGAAAGTGTGGATTCGTAATTTAAGAATTCACGAGGCGCGAAGCGCCGAGTGAATTCGTAAATTAAGAATCCACAATTAAACCATTGCGTCAACGGAAGTATTGGAAAGAATGTTGCAATCTGACGCCACTTTTTTCTTCATATATCATCTCAATGAAGGTCATTCGTTGCAAAAATGATGATAAAACATGAATTTGGGACTGAAAATTGTTTCAAATTTTGTTAGGAAATACTTGAAATGACTCTCCATAGACTTCGTTCACAAGCGCAGAAGTGGCGTCAGGTTGCAACATTTTTCCCTGGCGTGTTTAGCATGTGTAACGCCACACCCGTACAACCAAGTCATTTTGTGTGTATAGGCTCCTTGCGAAAAAAATGGATAGTTCAGACGACGATTTCTTTCTGACTAAAAGTAGTTTTTACAGTGACGGCGGCGAATGTGACAGGGAAGATGCACTGGTAATTTTCGGAAAGCAAATTTTCACGTAGACGGTCCTATTCAGGCTCATTATGGAGAACAATTGTGGGTATTATCCCTGGCCCTTTCCTGAAGGAAAAAACTAACGACTCGTGCTCCGGTTGTGTGCACTGCAATTTGACGTGGCGTATCTCATATCCTCTGCGGCATGCGGGGCCGATACATAATTACCAGGGAGTATCACCCAAGAACAAAATCTACGATCGAATCTAAAGCAATACGAGAGTCAGGGGACCTTTCCCTGAAAGTAACCAGCAAAGCATATAGCTATTATCAGGTGAAATGCAGCCCCCTCAAGTACAAGATTAGCATTTAAATAGAAGGTTTGTTGATGATTTCTGCTCTGTACAAACAAGGCGAATTTGCAAACTCTTTTTTTTTTCAGGATCTTTCCTAACAAATGAAAATAAACATTGTTTTAATGAACTGATTTCGCAAGGTCCTGTATTACCAAATATTATTTTAAATTACCACGTAGCTGATTTAAAGTTATTTGTCCCCCTTTTTGTGTGTGTGAACGAGGCTTATCGGATGACTGACAGTCCTAAAGTGATTGAACTGGATGACCACTGTGGCATTTTTGAGTGAATTGGCTTCATAGTTATCGGCAGTAACGTAGTAACAAAAACATGTCCACGGAACGGATAAATGAATGTTAAAGGTATAAACATCGCGCGAAGAAACATAAACAAAGGATTATATACACGGTTATGTTTCAGATATAAGTTTTTTTTTATAAACAGTATTGCGCGTTCATTTATACAAGTGTCTTAATATTAAATACGTTAAAGAGTTTATCTTTGTATATGTGTGCTGTATCACTCGTCATTAAACGGACGAAGTCACACATCTGGTACCTGACAAATAAAATCTAACCCCACGACTCCAGCCGCGCACGGTCTATCCATCTGGTCTAACGTTTTAAAAAGCAGATTCAAAACACTTTTGAATTTTGCCTTACGGCTTTAACCCAAAATAAATCGCACTGTTCTCACTTTGAAATTTAGATTTGCTCTTCACATTGGCGGCTTATGTGAGACACCGTCAACGAAGACAGTGTTTCAGAATTAACGGGACTGAAGATTCATGGATTACCTGATATGGTGCCACGGCGATATCGTGTTACCGAAGTTTGAGAGGCATCCGCCCGGCACGGCTTCATCAGTATGCAGCCAGCCAGTAGAAGTTGGAGAGCAAATACGACCACACCAGCCATTCTTGACACCTTAATGGCAGACACTGGTTTTCATAACTGTTATAAGTCTGCATTGGTATTTTTTTTTATATGAGTCCAGTTTGTAGGTTGCGGTAGACATCACGGACCGGCTGACACCACTTGCGTTCAACTATGGTCATCGTTGACCTTGCTCGTATGAATTGGAAGAGTTTTTGTCATCAAGGAGAAACTAATTTATTGCACGATGTTGTAGGCTATGCTTTGCGTACTTGCAATAAGCACCAAGAACATTATGGAACAACTTTATTGTGTATAGCTGTAAAGCATCGTACTCGAGTATCCTCAATGCCGAAATGGACGTACCTGTAGTATTATATCCCTATCCTTCGAATAAGTACACAAAGTTGATTAGGCCCAAAACAAATACACTTTTTTACACCTGTTTTTTATGTTCTGTACTTTAAAGGATAAAAGTCATGAAATCTCACGGAAATCTGAAATAAGTTTAATACAGTTCCATCGTGGCTTCGCCTGAAAAAAAAAAACCAGAAAAAAATCATAGTACTCTACTATAATTATACCTTCTTCATTTTCCAAAATAGCTAATGCATTATGTCCAGGTTGCTCATAAATTAAGGAAAAAAATAATAATATGCAGATTTGTTAGACTCCCCGTACACTAAGTATGTTTAGTGCTTCATGTTGCAAAAATGACAAAGATAAAGCGTTTGGACACTTAGTGTGCGTACACAAATTGAAGAAATTTTGATTTTTTTTTTTGATACTTATTAAAACGACAATTAAAAAGTCTGAGGCGAGTGGCGACACACTTCGAAATCTAGTTTGCAGTAAGCATCAATTCTCAGAATAAGTCTTAGGAGGATATTGGACACATAAAATATTTCAAGAAGAAAAACACATACAAACACGTTCAGTTCAGAATTTAAATCAATGAGTAAGATGGATTCAGACCCGGGCAGGTATGATCTCAGCAACATGACCTTCCCGACATGTTCAGCAGAAGTGGAATCTGTACGAGATCTCAAACAGATGGGACTGAGTGTTTTCCACTCGATGGATGAATACATATAGGCAAGCCCTTTAAAAGTGCAGTTCACAATTACCATACGTCCACTCCATCTAGCCTTCTGCGTTGTTGTTCGAACGTGATCGACGCCTGATGAATATTCAACCATTAGAATTAAACAATTTAATTGTGTGTGTCTTTTTTAATCAGAGGATCAGTGTTTAAGCACTTAAAGTACAATAGTGCTTCTTGCGAATCCTCGACGATAAACAATTCTTGCCGAGCTATCTGAAGTGATTAAGATTGGTCAACGTCCACTCACAAAAACATCACATCATCCATTGGGGATTCGTACCACGTCATAATTTCTTTGCTTGCTTGTCCAACCCAATAAGTTTGTAGCTCGCACTTTCAAAAAAGCGCTTGATGTCAATCCAAGATAGAGAGCGCAACGGGGGATGGTTCCAGATGTTATCAGTACTTCAGTTTCAAGATAATAACCCCTCAGGGTATTCACGAGAAGATGTTATGCTTGATCATCTCATCAATATTTAAGGATAGAATGCAATTCAATCGTTATCTGTGAATTCGAACGTGCCTTCTCATCAATATGTATCTGGGTGAACGCTTAAGGGAAAGAAAATGTCGAGTAAACAAGTTGTAGGAAATCCCTGGATAATAGCAGTCCGGTGAATTCAATCGCAGTAATCACACATACAGTGGGCAGTTGATGTGGAAGAGGCCCACCTACCAACTCTTTTGCCCGTCCAGTAATTGGGTGAGGGGAGAGTGCCCTTTGCTTTCGGTGGGTGATGGTTCGTCTTTAATAATTTTATTTTTTTCTGGACAATAACATTTGTTGATGTTAGGCATACAAATGCTGTGACGTCATCAAACCGGAAGTGAAATGCCATTGGATACATACAAATAAACGTTCGTGTAATTCGCAAAAAAAATAAATATATATTTTCCTTTCACTGTATTTGGTCAAATGATAAAATACTCAAACTGATATAAAGTAATCCGAGATTCCTTATTTCTGCCATTTTAACATTGCACGACATTCACAACCGAACTGAAACAACGTACAACCAAATACTAGCGTCGCGCCCCATCACCCTGCGGTTTTTTTTTCACAGAAAACAAACGCCGTACTTGTATTTTTTTTCTTTTTTCCCCCCACTAAATCACAAGTATTCTATAATTATATCTATTTTTTTCGGTCCATTTTCAATTTTTGTTCGCCACAACTGATGGCAATCGTACCTCAGTTTTCATCTCATATCTTAATGCAGAAAAGTAGTATCTCGTACAAAATACAGTGTAGCCACAAACCATTCTTTTGTTAGCTCAGAGCAGAATTTTATTATTCCCATTCAAAATATCAAACCCCATAAAACCCTTTATTTTTAGATAAGCAGATGTTGCACAAACTACAAGGACGTTAAAGGCTCCGTCAGACTCCATATGGAAGTCTACCGATACTGTTGCTATCTTTTGAGTAGCCACTATGTGCAGTACCAGCAATAAACTTAAATTGAGTAAACAGCGATCAATCCCCAACCCCCTTTTATTTATTATAATATTGTGGGCTTTTTTTTTTTGGTTTTTACAATTCGGTTGATTGGCAGGATTTTGAGAACAATTTTCAAGTTACAAAGTATCGCAATAACTGAGTCTGTGGTCATGTAATTGCAAGTAAAATATTGCAATAGGTTTCGGATGCATGTGTTTTTGAAGCTGTCATGCTCTACTGCCCATATTGGAATCTGACCACCTTATGATGAACCTGTATTGGCTAAGCATTGTTTCTACTTGTGTATCAGTAATTGGGTCGAGGGCATTTCGGGAGCATTTTAAGAGCTTAAAAATCGTATTTTTCCCAGGGACAAAATTGGTTGATTTTCTTTTCTATGAGTTCAAAACAGCCAAATAAACGTTTCTGAACAAAATATTGGTTGTTAAATAATACGTCAGGGTTGAGCATTTATCATGTAAATTCTTACACTGGACTAGCACACGGGAACGTGAACAACATGACGCTGGTACACATTCCGAAAAAGAGGTAGGCCTAATTCATTTAATGTGCAATGTCCTTTATTCCCGAAAGTCTGCCGCATATCGGGATGCGTCACGGATCGGAGAGTGATGGCAACGGCGTGCGTAAAATGCACACGTGCGTGGTGAGATTGCGCAGTAAGTACCTGGAGATAATAATTAGGGAACGGCAGCCAGCTCGCAGCACGTCCCTCCGCTCGACCGACGGGGACAATCTCCACTCGGATAACAACCAACACACAGAGTACGGCACAAACAAAAGCAAGGCCTACGTGCCTACATGAGGCGGACAGAACAACAACACTGATTCTAGTTTTAGAACTTTGAGTGGAACATTCACTTAAAGAACATTAGTAAAAGTACATCAGAATATTCGTCTATTCTGGCCAATTGCGTTTGTTTTTGTCTTCTTTTGTTCAGTCTTCTAAACGAATTAACCCGAGGTGTTCTTCTGAACGGATTCACTTGAAATTTCCTTTAAAGGTAAGACGATTTGTTTTCAAATTTCTAAAGATTGATGAACCGGTATTACAATGCTACAACCTGTCACATTTTATTCGAATAGAGAATACTTACTTTGGTTTATAGTTTCATGTTTTATATATTGTAGACCCGAACGCACTGAAGTACTTGGAAAATGAACTGCTATCCTGGCATTGCTATTCAATATGGCTCTTGAAAAGAATGTGTGAAGAAAAGTGGCAAACTCCCTATACAATGAAAGATTCCTCATGTTTTAGGCGTTATCAGAGGCGTTGAACCGTCAACACACCTGTTTCCCTTCAGTCATTTCTATGTTATATGAACCTTTTAGAAGAACGTGTCAAGATGAGTTGGGTTACTCTCGTCTAGGCATGTCCCCCTCGATTCATACTCTAAGGATACATTAGTTGGGAATTGCTCCTCCCAAATACTCCAGCTTATACTTCTACTGTCGACATCCACCTCGGCAATTTATCATCAAAATGACTCCGCGACAAAAATACAAACGCCTACAGAAGCTTCCTACGTTGGTTGTTTTTAATTTAAAAAGATGCTGTTTATAAAAGTACACGTATAATTTGCTGTAATGACGCGTACATCTACTTCGTTCAGTCTGCAGCCGATGGTATACGTTCATATTATAGCGTATGAACGTTTTGGTAAACTAACGCACATCATGCAATGTGGGATAATTTAATTTCTCATTTTAACAGCATATGGTAATCTTATTGTTTGTTCACGCGGTAATCCCCATGGTACTAAATGATACTATAAAATTGAACAACATGCCATGTTCCCCGGTGTCAAAGCACTCGTACTCAAACTCGGACTCGAGTACAGGTGTCATACTTGCGCTCGAACTCTATAGGAATGTTCTTGTGTTCATCGTATACGCGCAAACCAATACTGGTACTCACACTCGTACTCGTGGCTAGGCGAGGATCCAGGGGTGGGGTTTTGGAGGTCAAAGCCCCCCCCCCCCAGCTCTGTCAAGCATTTTTTTTTTTTATAGAAATGCATTCAAAATAATGCGACCCCCTCCCCCCCGTTCTGACACCCTAAAAATCATACTGGTAATAATGTCGCCTGTGCACACGATTAGATCCAGCTTGGTAAGGGGGTATTTGTACAGTATTCTCTAATATATAGTGTTAAGAATCGTTGGTATATGGTACAAGCCCCCTCCCCCCAACTATGGATTTTCGGAGGCTAAGTGTCCGGAGAAAAAAGTGTCTACATTTGATATTTTTTTTCTGATGAACCAACCCCCCCTCAAAAATTTCTGGATGCTCCACTTCTTAAAACCTGCTCGATCGGATCTTGGAAGCTGCAGGCCAACGAATACCTGTTCACCATATTTGTTTGACCAAAGCCAACATCTTGACTGACAGTGCTACTGTTGTCATTTAAACTTATTTGAAATTTGAAGTTATTTTGACCTTGACCCCATGATGACCCAAAGTTTGGCCATGTGACATGTTGGGGCTGGGTTACTGATGCTTTTGACACAGTTTTGTGAAAATTGATTAAAATATGTAGGAGCAATAGACAATGTCAACGTTTGTTAATAACTAACGAATTAACTAACTATAACGTACGGACTGATGGAGAGACATGATGATTTGTTGAGCTGCCTCAAACATACGGCTGAATTAAGACAAAATGCCTTTGCCTTGTCACGCACAAACAATGAGCAGGACTGTGACAATCTAAGTAATGTAAATTACCAGAATAAAAAAAAAATACAAAAACATTCCACCGCCATCGGCTCCAATTTTGGCAACTCCAACAGGCAGAATCTTCTTTTCAGCCTCATGTGAGAATGGAATCGGATAAATCTCCTGTACATAGGAATAAAGCCTTCTAAACTTACACGGGATTATTTCAGATGGCACCGTCCAAATATCCAAAGGCATATTTTATGGATTCAGCTCTTAATGTAAAATCATGTCTTTAGTTTCGCAGCCTGAACTGCATAACAAGCTGATAAGTATTAGGGGTGTCCTAAAAATCGAAATCCTCTCCAGGGATGATTCTCTTGTCTAGTGCCTTACAGAAAGAAGCCCCTGGAAAAATACACTTCCATTTGCACAACTCTGAATAAATGAAGACGCTCCAGCTGAAGTACTTGCTATTTTGTTTTCTCTCCAAATTTGGTTAAGAAGATGAACAGAGCATTGATTCTTGTATCACTTAACCTGGAAATTTCCCAGGGCATCGCCGGAAATAGAACAAGATACATACACTAGCTGAATTAACAATTTGTTTCCAAGATGACAAACAAGATGACCAACAATGTATTGATTATTGTATCAATTAAACTGGAATTTGTGAGGGGAACATCAAACCTAATGAACTTTGTTGAGACCTTTAAAGCCAAATAGGGTCATTTTGCTTTTCATGCATATTATTCGTTTCCAATAATATAAACACCATTTAAGTAGGTTCAAAACTTTACCTGTTGAAGTTTCATCTCAGCGAATACTACACTTTTTGCCAAAAAGTAATGCAAAACTATGCAAGACCTTTTGATCACGAAACACGATTTCGCCAATATAACTCAGACAAAATAATTTCACGGGGTGTATGGTACCACTACGGTCTTTAATCCAAGTAAAGCCTGGTTCATACTCGGCGCGAAAGCGAATGACGTCTGGGGAGTATTCGCTGCGAAATTCGCCGGAGTTGAAATGTGTTCAACTTTACGAATTCGCAGCGTGAAAACCCTCCCTGACGTCACAAATTCGCGTTCGCCTTCGCTTTCGTGCCGAGTATGAACTGGGCTTTTGATTGTTGATAAACACAAAATCGCTGGGTTACTTTTGGAGCAAATGCAAATGATCATCTATGCCTTTATGTATTTTCCGATAACGAGTTGTTTTATTTGAACAAATGGCTAGCTGAAATTTCGAAGACGACACCTCTTTTTCGTGTCAGACACCAGCAGGTTTTTCCAAAGCGGATTATATTTCAGTATACAGAGACCGGTACCAGAAGATGACATTTCGTGCAAGGTTGTCCCACACGTTCCAGAACAAAAACTTGGCTTTGGACATCTTACTTTCCACTCTTTGATGCCAGCTGTGATCAAGCACGAGCTGATGTATTTACAGAGAATTTCAATTGTGGAAAATATTCGACAATTGCACTTTGAAGAATGTGACTCCAGGCTTTATGCGCAAGTGAATCACTCATCTTTGACATGACTGATAAGTTTAAAGGATGTTGTTATCTCAATCGTCCCACCTGTTATCCCTCACTGGGATTGTTTTCCCTTGCTTTTAAATCATTCAGTAAAGTCTCAGGGTTAAATTGTTAAAATCTTAAATTCCTGCGTTTTAACTACATCTACCTATGTTTCATTAAACCCTCTTGAGTGCAGCTTCAACTTGAAGAATGTAATCATTAAGGAGATAACTGGACAGGTTCGTCTGTAATTAAGGAAGTTAGGGGATGAAGTTTTCAACAGACAGTCAAAATATGCTTACGGTTCATATTACAATGGTTTGACCGGCCGCAAAATCAAATCGCATCTTCGGTTCGCCCAGGCGGCAAGCCTGAAGTATCAGAATTTATCTTCCAAGAAAGCCCCGCTCGATGCGGATTCCCTCAGTCCGTCGTTTTCATCGATTTCATCGATTGCATCTGTCATCCCCGTTTGGCATGAAGAGAGCAGCGCGCATTGTACTCGTAAGCCTACGTAAACACGTGCATGGCAGACAGGTTCGCCTCTTAGATTTGTTGCCGGCTAAATTAATCGATTCTCTAATCTAGAAGATTCGTGTCGCTCTGCGCAATTTATCGAGGGGATCAAGTTTACCTAAAAGACTTTTGAAAAACAGAGTCATCTAATCTTACATTTCCAATTACTTTGTACTTTCAGGACACACTGGCAGCTAGATTCAGCATGAGGGCATTCTTCAGTGACCTAGTTCTGTTTCTAATTATTCTACCTTCCCCATGTATGGCAGGTTTTTGCTTCCACCAAGGTAACTTTATACAGCACTTTTAAGTCTTAAAATGTAAAGACGTCAACCAATGCCAAATCATTTTCAGAAGCGTCTTATCATGCCTGGTAAGTAGATTGGGATATTTTTGGTTTTTGGGGTTGTCCAAATTTTTCGTTCGTAAAGTGGGGAGGGTAACGGCTGATTGGAGCGCTGTTTAAACCGAAATCAAAGTGTCAAACAAACTTGGACTTATTTAACGTTGATGGTTAAGTTATTGAACTTTTGATCTTTTTGAACAAAATCACACTTTGCATTGTAACTGTGGATGTGAAATATACTATCACAGGGATCCTATATAGAGTTTATTTGATTTAAAAAAAAATCCCTTTGGACTATATTGCTCATATCTGTCAACGATCTTTTCAGTAATTCTGCCTCGAACGATCGAAGTGGATTTTCAGACTCGACAGATACCATCTGAAGACGGTGGCAGCCAATGGGAACTCGTGGCAAACGTCACGTGGCAGAGGCGTCAAGACATTAGTGGTACTGTCCTCGTTCCGTTGTTATTGTTTTTGTGTATGTTGAACGATTGCATTTTTAAAGGCAGGCGTTTTCTGCAGTATAGTCGTTCCTCAGGGTCTACATAATAGGTATCGGACAATGATTCCTTTTGAGAGTTCTCCGAATCTACGAGACAAAAAAAATACAAAAAGATGAGATCTACTTCAACGGAAATTATTGATTTAATACAATAAAAGATAGAAAATATGTATTTATTTATTTAAAACCATCTCAATGAGGGTAACCCATCCAGCAATAGCTGATCGTTTAGGGCACTATTCTGTTCCTAATTCAAAATAGGCCAATAAGAAACCCCATCCACAATTTGGACCATAATGCTTGCATTCCGTGCGAGTTTCATGCATAATAGTGCGAGTTTTTATGCGCGTTGAGGTTTCTAAGGAGCTGTGGTTTCACCTCTTCTAATTGGATTGCGCTCAACAGATACCCGTGCAATGCTGGTTTTTTTTTTTTAATGTGAGGGCTAAACCGACAACAAACATAAAAGACATTATCCTTTGCAGGAGGTATCTCATATGGTGTTGTCTCATTAAGTAATAATCAGTGCATTTATGATTGCTCATGCCTGCAACCGATGCAAAAACATTGCCCTCTAACCTCGCCTTAACGCACAAAGTCTATGTGGAAAAAATCTCAACATCTTCAGAAAATGTAAGAATGCGTAACAAATAGATTAGAAAATGTTCTTGCAGATTTCGGAGGATATGCAGTTAGAGGCGCACTAAGCCAGATCAAAGAGCAACTTTCTCTCTTAAATTGCTCCCTGGCTGGATTTCTGGAGACGGTAGGAACCCTTCATTAATTTGCATTGTTTCATCTTCCGTTTGCAAACACTTTCATCCAAGTTCAACTGACCCTTCCTTCATAATTTGACCTTGCGTATTAGGAAAGTGCACTTTGTCTTTACTCCGCTAAGTTTAGCTAGAATACTTTCTTATAGGTATAGCCACTGAAATGCGAAAGCGATTGAAAAAAACATGGAAAAGAAATTTCTTACGATTGGTTTGCACCTAAATTTGTTTTTTGTTTTTTTTGCGCGGATAACCATATCCGTTCAGCGGATCCTTTGTGGTAGTTCACTTAGAAGAAACTTAAAGGGAAAATACAACATTTGCAAACATCATAAAATAAAACTACCAAATCATTTTGAAATACCTTGCTGGACTGTTAGTGAATGACAGTGTAAAGCATCCTGTAACATCATGGCACCTGGTATACTGTCATTTTCAAGAAAAGTGGTATTTTTGTATCAATTTCCAACGCTGATCGGCCGATCAGCGTTGGAAAAAACTGGCTTTTTTCAAATACTGGCCCCAGTTGACCATCGCACTTGTTTGTAATCGATTACACACCTATGAACGGGTACAAGCCAGCTAGACTGGTTCCCTGACCTTTCAACTCCCCAATATATGTAAACTGCTCTGTTTCTTCTTAAATGGAGTCAGGGAACCAGACTACAGGAAAATGATTGTTTTTCTTGTTTTTTATAGCATTTTCGAACCCAAAACCTCAAAAAAGTCAGTGTAACTACATTTGCTATATATTTCCAACCCCCCAATTCCATCCATTTCTGAAAATTACAGCAAAAGCAAATGATGTATATTCCCTTTAAAAAGGTTAAATTTACCGCTTGTAATGCTATAATGTCGTTGATATTAATTTTGTTTGTTTGTTGATGAAAAGCCGGAACAAAAACACTTCCTTCCTCCCCTCCCCTCCCCTTCCCCAACCACCCACAAAAAGTAAATAGATAAATAAATAATAAAATATAATTAGATTCTTAGAAATAGATTTTGAGCCTTGGTAATTCCATCTAAACTTTTTCGTTCGTAATTCACCCCATAAGTTTGTATTTATTTGACCACAGGAAGACGAATCATACTTATTCACTGGTCTCCGTTTTGGATACAAATATTTCTTTGGGGTAAGAAGAAGGTTCAATTCAGGGTTAATCTAGAAAGAGTTTAACATGAAAAAGTAAATAATTTTTTTTACCACCACTAAATTAGTAAACTTCCATCCACTGTCCTGGCCAACAAAAAATGGGCCGCCACTACAATAAAACTGAGACATTATGACGTCACGCTTTGTTTACACGATACGGTGATGACGACAATGCACACATGTAAATCAGACACTGACGTTATCATTTCCTAGGTATATTAATTATCTTGACAAATGTCTGAGTTGATTATTGCCGATTGTTTTGAAAAAAAAATATTCAGCGTTAAAGTCAGTTTGTTTTGTTGGGTTGTTGCGTTGTTTGTTAGTTTTGTTTTGATTGTTTGTTTGTTTGTGTGTATTTGGTTTTTATGTATTAGGTGTCGGCTATCGACGAGGCGAGGTCCAAACGCACATCCATAGAGGCTTTCAAGCAGCAGGAATCGCCAGGTGGGTCGAGTTGCTGCATTCTTTACGTCGTTTCGCAGATTATTATCCATAAGATATCCCCCATTGTTGTCTTTGTAAAGTTCGACTTGCTGTGCAGCTGCTATTGCTGATGTTGCGTTTCATACCTATTCGCTTCATGTCTGGTATTCCTATGCAGCTGCCGCTACTAACGAAGATAACGATTTTTTTTTAGAACTACTGTGCTGTGTATTGTCTAAGGAAAATAAGCATATATCTAGGCATTTTTGCACAGCTGCAGTTGCTGATATGTTTGTCAAGGCTGCTTCGCCAGTGTATTGTAATTGGAGCCCAAATCTGAATGTGGGCGATTAAGATGTGAAAATTATCGGTATACCCATTCCTTTAGTTTGGAAACAGTTAATGCCATTGGTTTTACAACTGTCATCTGATTACATCCAAACAGTCGTCGAGAGACACCAATTTTAAGCCAGACGTAATTAAGATGAGTACAAATCTGCTCCATGAGCAAGATTTGAATCCAACGTCGCATTGCACGCGTACGTCGCACATGACTGTTGTAGCTCATCTTCTTCTAATCCCTAAGCTAAATTAATACGCTTTTGCAGCTGTTTTAATATCAAATCAACTGCCTCATCTTCAAAGCGGTTGATTGGCAGTCAAACGCCAACGCTTGCCATGAGCAACACAGGCCTCTCGGGGGAAACTCTGCCTTTCTGGCTTTCCTGTGGAACAGGCAGAGTCGATCACCTTCTCGAGCTATAATACTTCGCAAAACTGCTTCATACCACTGACGACCATATAGTTTAATAGTCTCGTCATAAATTCAATCTTCTGGGATCAAGGGCGGATCCAGAACACAATTTTTTTGGGGGGGGCCAAAAAAAAATTTGTTCCCCCCAAAAAGTGGGTCAAAAAAATTTCGGCGTGGGGTTCGGGGCCCGTAAGGGCCCCGAAATTTTTTTGGATTCTAGATGCTCTGTGGTGCGATCTGAGGCAATTTCTGACCACTTTAACCAATGTTTTTTGAGGAAAAGATGGTGGTGTACTCATTGCCTGCCTTTATTGCGATGTCACATAAAAAAAAAAAAAAAATTGGTTTCGTTTTTTTTTTGGGGGGGGGGGCATGGCCCCCTTTGCCCCCCTCCTGGATCCGCCCTTGTCTGGGATACGGTCGTTAGCTTACCAGTAGGAAAAGAGCGCATGTATTTAAAACATCAGCCAAGTGCATGCTTTGAAATTAATCATAATACTTTACAGCTGTATAAACACATTTCATGTTTTCAGATTGCTATCTGGAAACTGGCGACAGGGAGTTCTGCAGGACACAAAGTAAGTTGAACCTGGAATGATATAAATATTTGTCTTTAAAGGATGGTTTAGGCCCTGATGATGCAAATAGAAAGTTATACCCAATGTTACTTTTGTACCCTTCACCGTCGTAATATGCTTCGATATTTAAATATTTATACATATAGATATATAGATATATTCAGGATATTCAAAATAAATAACACACAATCTTGATTTTTTTTTTAAATCCTGGTTGAAAACCTTAGTGGAAATCCAAGGTTTAGAGAAATGTAAAGGTTGAACAACGGTTTAGTTGATATTTTATAGCCCTTACAACGTATACAATTGTTGGCAGTATTTCCACTTTTTTTCAATGGCCGCAACATACTTAAAATAGGGTATTCTTGGTGCGAACAGAACAGTACCATACCCGATACTTAAGTGTCCCATTCACCTAACACGATGTTCGTTGTAATTTTGTATTTCCTTACAGGTGTGGAGATATCGGGGGTTCCCCTAGATTTCCAAGTGGACTGTGTAGCGCCTTCATTGTCTGATCAGGGGGACACCGGTCAGTACACAGCGGTCTTGTCTTGGACTCCTCCCATTCAAGTAAACGGTAGAATCACCGACTATGAGTTGCGCTATGGCAAATCTAGCAGCAATTTGGCCGAGCAGATTCCATATTATAAGGTAATCAATCCTTCATCACCAAATCCCCAATTAAGTATTGCAGGAATTTCGAAATCTAGTCAATCTAGTAAAAAAAATGCTAAATCAACCCAATCAACCCTCCAAACCCAACCTAGACGAGCTAAACCCAATCCCAAATTCAGCCTTACCCAACCAACCAACCCAATCCACCCCAACCCAACCCAACCCGATCCATCCCAGCCATACCCAACCCAACCCAACCCGATCCATCCCAGCCATACCCAACCCAACCCAATCCACCCCAACCCAACTCACCAGACCGATCCCAGCCATACCCACCCAACCCAACCCAACCCAACCCAATCCACCCCAACCCAACCCAACCCGATCCATTCCAGCCATACCCAACCCAACCCAACCCAATCCATCCCAGCCCAACCCACTCACAAGACCGATCCTAGCCTTGGTCAATGCTCTCGTCGTTATTCGTCCCGTACGCGGTCAATCGTCGGCATACATGTACATGTATATCCTCACGCGCTATGCACATGCATGTAAAAATACAGCGCGAACAGCGACCTCACGCGGCCAATATTTTTATATGCAAATCAGTTGGGGACGATCGAGAGCCTTTGTTCAATCGTCCATGTGAGGTTTTGGGGGTGGTGCTCATTATGTTAATAGCCTTAGCTGACCTTAAATGTCGTTTTCTTATTGGTCGATCGTTGCGTGGAAACTTGCATAGTGAAACGTGGCACCGTACATAATCCACACACGTACACGTTGTGTGTCTCTGCACACGGCACCAATGCACAAAAACTGTGGTTCATGTCACGTCCGCAAAAGGCGAATAGCTGCAGATAATTTGATGACGTCCGGATATACCAAGGTGTGATTGGACACTCCACATATTAGCCCCGCCTACACTTATTCGCATACGAGGTCGTGCGCTAGAAATCCAGCGCAAAATAAAGAAAAACATAAGCTTTTGCTGACGATTGAACCAAGGCTCGAGATCGTCCCCAACTGATTTGCATAAAAAAATAGTGGCCGCATGAGGTCGCTGTTCGCGCTGTATTTTTACATGCATGTGCTTAGTGCGTGAGGATATATGCCGACGATTGACCGCGTACGGGACGAATAACGACGAGAGCATTGACCAAGGCTAGACCGATCCCAGCCATACCCACCCAACCCAACCCAACCCAACCCAGACAAACCACTGAACCAAAACAATATTTCAGATGCTTTAAATGTATTCTCTTGCTTACAGAAGACTAAGGTTTACAGTAAGGAGCTAAGACATCTCGAAGAGTTCTCAAATTTCACGGCACAGGTAAGTTTGGATACCGCAGCGTGCAGTGAATTATATATTTCGAGATATGATTTAGGGACAAGCTTAGAGCGAATCGACTCGTTCAAACAGGTGTACCAAATTAAAATACAGTGTTGATCTTTAGATCTATTCGGACCCGCTATCCCTTTTCACGCATGCCCTCTTCAATGATGACGAAAGCTATGCATTAGCTTTGTTGAGATAATCCATCAGTAACCTTGCACAATAGCTTGCACAATGCCAGGGTGCCAAGTGAGTGGACAGTCATCACATTTGATATTCCCGAATTTGTCTAAGGTGTGCGAACTCCTATGTTAGGGGTTCACTCGTACCTAACACAACATCCCTTTCCAAACCGTGTGAGCGCGTATACATGTATATGAGGCGTTCGGTCAAAATGAGACAGAACTGGCCACAGGCCAATGTGAAGAAAAAGGGGGGGGGGGAGATGTGGTGATTTGTTTTCGAATTCAAGAATTATTGGCTGTTTCGGCACATTTGCCGAAACAACTTTGTTTTTGTTCAGATTTTTTTTTCTTTTTCAGACTATTCCCATATCACTTGTACACGTTTTTATTGTGCATGGAAATTGGGCAGTAACATCAATCCGATTTCCTTTTTACTTGGCACACATTTAGACCAGCACCTGCAGATGTGTGCCGAATATTGACGTCATCATGAGTTATGACGATGGCGAGTCACATGACATCACATTAAAGGTGCATATTTTGAAGGCCTATCTCTACAGAACTAAAATTCAGATTGAGTTGAAAGTTGGTACGTACCTAGACCGAGATGTGTTATAGATACAAATTGAAGTGACGTCATGATGACGTCATTACATTTTATGTGACATCACGTTAAAGGTGCATTTTTCTAAGGTCTATATCTACCAAACTTTTAGTCCGATTTGGTTGTAACTTGGTATGTATATTTTAATGCCTTTGTCAATAATGCAACATTGATGTTGCATTGCAACAGTGGCTATCTTCAGAACTGCACATCTTTCTACTGCACATGTAGGCCTATGTCCTATCAGTCTATAGCATGACATAAACTGTCAATAACAAAATGCCCTAAGTCCACAAACATAAATCTAGTTTTGTCTTGTATTTCTGTTTCGGGCAGAATTTCAACAATGATTATATTTTTTTACAGCAGAAACAGGTAAAAGTATTGTATGGGACTGTACGGGCCATGAACCATGTGATTGGATCCTAACTCAACAAACGTTTCGCGCTATAAGATTTCTTTGCGAAATTATACAGAAGTGTTGTTAAGAAAAGGAAATTTGATTTTTTTTCGTCTGTGCAGGTGAGAGCTTTTGTGGATGGAAAAGGTGGACCAAAGGCCACTCTGAAATTCAATACGTACCACGAGCAGCTGGCCAATGATTTAAGCCACCAAAGTGAATGTGACGAGTTGTTTTAAACAAAGAGTATTGAGGGAAACGGCAATCTGCTTCTGCTTGCCATTTTATTCGATTTCTGCAAGACGAAGATAAATACATGTTGTCAGGTCTTCCACTGGCATGGGTAAATAAAGTGAAATAATGTTTAGACTTTAAATCGAAATGTAAAAGTTAAAAATGTTAAATAAATAAATACAGAAATGTTTTTTGGGGGGCTATTTACACAATTTACAAAAAGGTTGAAATAGTATTAATATAGAAATAAATCAAAACTTGAGGTTTCCTTCAAAACTGTTCTTGGGACCACCATCCTTGCATTTGCCCCGAGTAAACAAAATAAAGTAATTAAAATATAATCTTACGAATCAAGGAACATCAAACTTACAATTAATGAAATTAGACACTAAACGGAAAGTGGGGATAAAGTATAATCTGAACCTTCAAAATGTATCAGTGTTGGACTTAAGACTTGGAAATCGACAGATCGGTGATCTTAGCCTTCAGGGCAAAATAACGATCTGTCTAAGTTATTATGTTACATGATGAAGTCTCTCCCAACATGATGAACTTACACTCAAGTTAAAAAAGAGATTGGCATCAATTCAATAGCATTCCCTGTAAAGGCCGGTTCATCTTCGGCGCGAAAGCGGAAGCGAACGCCAATTTGTGACGTATTTGTATATCACAGATCTATTCACACCACGGTGAAACGACACTATCCAATGACATGACACTGAAGATTCCTTTGCGAAAAAAAGAATGTTATGCCTCTAGCTTTGCTGTAACTGATACAATCATATGGACTAATTTGCATGTACAGTTCAAAACCATGACTTCTCTAACCTCATTCAAATCTGAGCTACGTAAAACCTCAGTCAGTAGTTTTCTTGCATGTAATAAGCATTTCCATTGTCTTCATTTACTAGTGTGCTGATTCACAGAGTTGACAAACTTGGTTGCCATAAAAATTCATTCATTCATTCATTCATTCAATTTCGTTTATTTGTCTCAGATCTTGGCCCGGAGGACCAAATTCCAAAAGACAATTACATTATAAACAATTAATTCTAAAAACTATTAAAACTTCAGTAAGTTTTAATTGTTTTAGAGTAAGAGTTAGAGTTAGAGTAAAATACTAGGCAGGCAATACATTAAAACTGTACATAAACAAACATCACATAACCAGGGAGACAGAACTATTCAAGAAAGGAGGGACAACATGCAGCCCCCCCCCTCCTAAAAAAACAACATTGCGCACAATAAAATCACACAGAGCCGGCATTTAAAATGTTAAGGCGGTAGGAATTGGACTTTGTTGGAAGCGCTTGGTTCTAATAGGGAGTTGAGTTATGTGGTAACTGTTCCTTAAGTTCCTACCATGACTTGCTAGCCTCGTAGGTGGGAGTAAGTGAGTTGCTCTTGAATTAGTACCAAGTGCTTTAGCAAATTTTATGCAATGTCCTACTCTTCTGCTATCTAGTGCATCCAAGTTACATAGGTTGAGCGCATCCAAGTATGAAATGTACTGATTCCCCATGAGGGCCTACAAGCTCGTTTCTGTATCGAGATGAAGACCACGATGGGAACATACGGTGACTGCTCTATGTTCCGACACCCCTTTGTTCCGAAAACCTGCACACATGATTGTGGTACTCCCGGTTAGGATTAGGGTTAGGGTGAGGTTAGGGTTAGGGTGAGGGATAGGGATATAGATAAGAATATGTGCCGTCGGAACATAGGCGTGTCGGGACCTAGGGGTGTCGGAATATAGGGATGTCGGAACATAGGATGAGTTGTCGGAACATAGGGTTGTCGGAACATAGGGGTGTCGGAACATAGAGGTGTAACCGGGACACACATGCACAGCTGATGCAGGCAAGAATTCAGGAGCTTAAAAAGGAGTTGGCAAGAAGAACTCAAGAATAACCTTCAATACCAGCTGGCCATTGAAAGATTTGGAGTAAAGAGGTTTACCAACAAAGGCACTTTTGGCTTGTTTTTATACAGGCTTTGCAACTTATCATCACACTGAGAATAAACATCGGGGATGTTTGGAATTGCTACCTAGCTATACCCATAGAGCAACGATATACACCGTACACGAACCAGGATCTTGAGTCATACAAAATTCCACGAACTGAAAGCAGCAGCACTGGAAAGACGGGCTGTGGTGGAAGCGGAGCCAGTGATTCCAGCTGTGTACAATTTGAGGATCTAGGAGGAGACCACGGGCAAATGCCTATGTCCAATGAATGAATGAACGTACTTGTAAATGTACGTGAGAAAGCAACACAACCACGTTCCGTCTTGGAGGAGCATGTCTGGACGGGGGCCGCCTGATAGTCCGAAGGTCCGATAGTCCGAAGGTTCTTTAGTCCGAAGGTTCGATAGTCCGAATGCACAAAATGTCCATAAGGGGGGGGGGGGGGGTTCGTTAGTCCGTAAATGAAATAAGGTTTGTGAATCCGAACATTTGATGCAATAGTCCGAAGGTTCATTAATCCGAAGGTTCATTAATCCGCAGGTTCATTTATCCGAAGGTTCAGTAGTCCGAATTTAGAATAAGGTTAAACAGTCTGAAGGTTCAATAGTCCGAAACGAAAATAAGGTTCAGTAGTCTGAAGGTTCATTATTCCTAATTGACAATAAGGTTCGATAGTTGAAAAGACTATAAGGTCAGATAGTCCTAATCGACAATAAGGTTTGATAGTCCGAATCGACAATAAGGTCCGATAGTCCGAATCAGCAGTAAGGTCCGATAGTCCGAAGTGTCATTCTGACGATTGCCCATTCGGACTATCGAACCTTATTCTCAATTCGGACTATCGAACCTTATTGTCAATACGGACTTTCAAACCCTACCGTATATTCGGACTATCGAACCTGATCATCTATTCGGACTATCGAACTTTATTGTCGATTTGGACTATCGAACCCTATCGTCTATTTGGACTATCGAACCTTCGGATTAATTAACCTTATTCTATTTTCGGACTAATGGGCCCTTCGGACTATCGAACCTTCGGACTATCAAACCTTCGGACTATTGAACCTTCGGACTAAAGGACCTTCAAACTATCGAACCTTCGGACTATAGTGCAATAACCGTCTGGACGGTGCTAACACGCTGCTATCGACATTATCGACTTTCTTGGAAAATGAAACCGCTACATTGCTATACTCAAAAACTGGTGCGTGTTCGTGTTCTGAGAAAATGATATCCTTAATGAATGCTATTTTTTAATGGAATATCGCCACAAGCATCATGGCTACAAAAGCCACTCTTGGCAAAGGGCTTTGAAAAGAGAAGTAATATGATGAAAAGAGAAAAAAATCAGGAAAGCTGAAGGTAGGAGTTGAGCAAGAGTGCACAGCTAGAGTGTATGGGGGAGAGGAAGCAGAGAGCCTGGCTGCACGCTCAAACACCCTGACAGGAGGAACCATGTCAAACAAACTGGTGGAACAACTTGCATGCCTGATTATAGTAGCTCTTGGTTCTACATCTCGGCACAGCTAGAGTGTATGCATGAGAGGAAGCAGAGAGCCTGGTTGCACGCTCAAACACCCTGACAGGAGGAACCAAGTCAAACAAACTGATGGAACAACTTGCATGCCTGATTATAGTAGCTCTTGGTTCTACATCTCGGCACAGCTAGAGTGTATGGGTGAGAGGAAGCAGAGAGCCTGGTTGCACGCTCACACACCCTGACAGGAGGAACCAAGTCAAACAAACTGGTGGAACAACTTGCATGCCTGATTATAGTAGCTCTTGGTTCTACATCTCGGCACAGCTAGAGTGCATGGATGAGAGGAAGCAGAGAGCCTGGTTGCATGCTCAAACACCCTGACAGGAGGAACCAAGTCAAACAAACTGATGGAACAACTTGCATGCCTGATTATAGTAGCTCTTTGTTCTACATCTGAGCACAGCTAGAGTGTATGGATGAGAGGAAGCAGAGAGCCTGGCTGCACGCTCAAACACCCTGACAGGAGGAACCATGTCAAACAAACTGGTGGTGGAACAATTTCCATATCGAAATATCTGTAGAACAGAGTTACCATGGGATTTCGGTTCGAGGCGAAATGACATTGGTCACAACACTGTCATAGAAAGCTCGACCCATGGGCGGGTCCAGAAATCAGAAGGGGGGGGGGGGACATGCCAAAACATTCAGGTAAGTCAAGTCAGAACCGCAGGGGGTATAGCAAGCAAAACCATGGAGCAAAACAATCAAGCAAAACCATGGAGGGGATGGTCAGCGATGGACTCGAGCACACGGCTGTCCGACCAGCCCAATGGTCTTCGACACTGTTTGAAAAAAAGGGTCGCGCTACTCCGTGCGGATTTGTTGCCGACGGAAGCACGATTTGCTGACAGCAAAGAGATTTTGCCAACTAATTGTTTTAAATGTTTGTTTAAAAAACGTTACATACATAAGGTCGAAAAACTGAGCATGAGTAACTTAAGAGAAAGCTTCAGCATCGTAACTCGATGATTCTGGAATAAACGTGTCAAATCTCATAACTTATCATAAAGTCGGGTGTTTACAAAAACAAATCAAGATATTAAACCACATAAATAAGAACCCTCACCAAACCTTTTAATCCCTTAAGGAGTTCAACCCAAAATACAGCCATCAGCACCTAAGCAAATAAATCAGGGTAAATAAGAAATGAGCCATGTAATAAATGCAATCCTTGAAAATGTCTCCGGGTGTCCCATTTACTTAATTATAAATGTTAAGCAAAATGCACTCTTATACAAACATTTTAACTAAAAAGTATGTCTTTCAATTTATGCAAAATGTTATGTGTAAACTTCATGTCATCGAACTCAACAAAATGTTCACTTATTTCCAATCACCCTCAGCACAAAGGCATAGCAGTACTCTGTATTGCCGTTTTGTTCGCACTGCATGTACACATGCCGCTTTTTCTCCAGAAATTCAACCTTTCCTTTGGCTGCCATTTTGTGGATGACGTCATCCAGCTTGCCACTTTTGCAGCATTCATCGAGGATGAGGTTCTCTGCACGCACGTTGAAAATTACGTAGCCTCCTGTATAAAAGCAAAATTGTTTATAGAGAATCAGGCATTAATATCAAGACAAAAGGCTGGTGTTCTTTTTTACTGGTCGCAAAGGGCCAGCCTAGAGTCCTGACCGTCACTTGTGATTTAGACTGGCTAAGGTCTCACCTTGGCCCAAAGTAGCAAAGAAGATGACCCGTTATGCCAAGGAAGGGACTAATTCCGGCCCAATAGCAATGCTGCATCAATATAATGTTGTGTATGCTCAGGCATCAGCTTTACGAGGCGTGACATGTCTTGTTAATACCTTGATACTTTGAGTAAATTTCGTAAATACCGGTGTAGTATGAAATTTGGACTGTATGAAATACGGACTCCTTGGTTGTATTGCGAATGCCTAAGTGAAGATAATTAGAACAGTGACAGGCCACTGTGAGGGTACAAGAGACCAGATTTAATAGGAGTCCAAATTTTATAGAACACTAGAGACTAGTCTCTTATCTCTCCAACCCACTGACCTGGTTTGGTTATGCGAAGTAACTCCGAGAAGCAGTCGGGGCGTACATGGGTGTTACCAAAAGCAGCGCTCATACAGATTGCGTCATAAGTACCTACCAAGAGAAATATATATGACCGTCAAAACAAACAAACAAACAAACACCCCAAAAACAAACAAACAAACACCCCAAGAACCCAACAAACAAACAAAAACAGGGTGGTAGAACATATGCGTGAATTGGATTATTGTAGGGCAGCAAAGAATTCTGAATTTGAAACTTAATGTTCTATTAACGTGAGCCGATTATTTTTCTTTTACCACGATGTCTCGTTGTAGTTGCTAAAAGCCAGTCAACGTACAGAGCTACAAGAGAAACTGAAGGTATGAATTAACATGCCTCTTGAAACAGGACAGATCATAGGCTGGAGAGAAAACAAGGACCATGCAGGGGAGGATTCCAAACAGTTGCAGCACATAATTGCTGGCTGGAAAAAGCATTAAAAAGAACTCGGAAAGAGTCATCTTTTCTGAACGTTACCATTCTCAATGGGTAGGCGATTATGTCCCAGGTACTCGCAGAAGTAGTTGGTATACACTTGCTTCCCTCGGCTGTAATCTAAGGATTCCTTAGAGGCATCCAGAGCATCTATGCGAATGTACCCGCGTTTCTTAAGCTGCCATTGAACGTGAATGAAATTTTAGCTTTTGGAAATATTTATGGTGCGTACATACATGGAAACAAGGGGACAAATCTAGAAGAAAAATTCGGGGGGGGGGGAAGCTGCAAACTAATGCTGTCGTGTCGTGTAGGCCAGATGCAATGAACATGAAATCGACAAGGACATCGATAATAACGTGAAAAAAATATATATACGCTGGCCAATAGGCCTACAATCCATTATTATGCACAAACTGCACAATGTAGATTGATCATGGAGTAGATATCCTACATTTTGCTTAAAATTGGATGCTGTTGTCAGATGTTTGCAACTTTTAGCAAACTGTTCTCTTTTACACTCCATGTGTATCTTAAATGTGAGTGATGCCAAAGTGGTGACATAAACCGCTGTGTCAAAATGTGGGCAATATAACATGCAAAAGATGCCTAAATCTTCGAGTTGACTGTCGGTTGCCCCTTGGTATGACGTCACAGGTAAAGGTCTTTAAATTACCAGAGTGCACACAATGTATCTGGAATTGCGCTTGAGCAATTAAGGACACTTCTTTATTATTACACAAAACCACGCTTCGCGTTCTAATAAAAACAAACACATAACATTATTTAGACACACACCCGGACCATCACGATCCTTTAATTGTTTACACTCAACTTTTTCGCAACAGCTCTCATTGGTTTTGTACACGTTTTCTAATCGAGGTAATCCTCGATTTGACTCCTGTCCTTACTCGATGCTTCACAGTACGACATACCGCAGACACCACGACACACATACAGACAAACAGACGACCGACAGACCGGCCGACAGACAGACAGGGTTTAATTAAGGTTATTACCTCTAGACCCAAGAGGCCCGTCCCGGATGCGCAGTCCAGTACTCGGCTGTTTTTGTCGCTGATGAAGAGTGATATTGTCTCCGCTAATTCGAATGGGCTTTTGAAACCAAGAACTTCCATGTCCTGTATAAAATAGATATGCATATAGGTATACAGCCACTTGCAGTGTATTCCATATTCTATCAGGCTTGTTATAACAACATGGGAAAATATAACACCAAAGAAATAACTAGCAATTGTTAGGTGGAGCAAAATGGCTATGTATTGTGACATTGTCTTATGTCGTTCAATCCATTAGTGCTATGCTAGACCATAGAGTTGTCGGAACACAGGGACACATCCAGAAATCGGATGGCCGTAGGAGCTCGTGTTGTACACATCGCTATAAGGCCTTGATGACTTTGGGCATTTACAAACTGCCGAGACCGCGGGAGGACCTAAGGGGAGACTGCGTATGCATGCAGCGAGTTCTCACCCCACAATTTATCTATTTAGCCTTTGTCGGAATTTGTAATTTATCAATCCTTTTTAAGCGGAGACATTATGTCAGCATAACAACTATAGCCGTATGCGCTCTAGACTTGGCCAGAGTCTGGGTTGCGCTCAGTCCGTGACTACAGTAAATCCACGCATAGCGCATACGTACGTCCGTACAGTATAACGCGCGCCCTCATGCGTCGAATCCGGACCATCATGTTAAAGAGGTTGTGCAATGCTCGAAGACATTTCCGTCATTTTTCGGGTATATGTAGCCTAAGGTGTGATGAAATAAAAACGACTACTGTCAGGAAATGAGTACAAAGGGTACTTGAAAGCTGTTTTTCAGGTCCTGTTTCGACTCGAACGTGGAATTTGTGTAAAAGTCGTCGTTGGGGGCAGCAAACAAAACATAGTAAAGCGTGACGTAATAAACAGGACTCGTTTACACTACGCTGCATCGGGAGTTCACCCTTTTTAGGGGCATGGCAGCCATTTAAAAAAAGGCGACTCATCATGGCCGCAGTGAAAAGGGTTGTTCCCAGTTGTCACAAAAGCAGGAACCTTCACAGAGACATAATTATATAGATTGTAACTGTTTTGCAGTTGTGGAGCCACCACAAACTTGTCAAGGAATACTTTATTTTGTGTCTTACCTTGTCATAGTCGTTATTAATCCATTCCGCATACATGTCTCGCATCATCTGCAGGGATTCTTCCGGGGCGGCCGACTCCTGCTTTCTGCACCTCACTCGTCGCTTCTCTATCTCTGTCAGTATTCTTTGCAGGTCGACTTCAGCCATCGTTGAAAACTTCAATTTCCTCCGATGAAAATGGTGATGATGAAGATGATGGAGTAACGATGATGGTGATGATAACAATTCCTCAGCCTCTCATGCGCAGGCACTAAAATGTGTGACAGGAAAACAATTCGAAGTCTGTGTCCGTTTCTACATGTTTTATGTATAATAATGCGTATTCTTGCTCGAAACAAAAGAGCCAGTGAAGTTTGCATCCTGATCAGTATGGATTTGAAGAGGACAACCGAACTGAGAAACAGAGTTATCTTTTGAGCCCTTGGGAAAGATTCGGCTTTTTGATATGGTAATGGGTAAGCTTCAATCCATTTAGATTATTGACAGATTAACATATTAAGATGTACCGACTGCTATATTTAGTTGGTGTGAACGGGCCCCAAAATGTCTAAATGAACACGCTCGGCCGGGGCCCCTGCAATAAAGGTGTTTTTGTACCAAAACATGTCTGTTTAATTTCTTTAATCGTTCTGGTGATTCCTGGATGTCAAGCCATTTTTGAATCATGACTGAGCATAAGGACTTTCTTTATGGCGGTTGAAACTATGTAAAGTAACCTGGGTGTTTGATCTTCTACCCAGTTTATAGTGTAGTACACCATCATTGATTTCAAGAAGAGGAGCATTCGTCTAAACAACTTTACAATAGGTGATAATATTTGCAACTCCCTCTGTGCCGGTCTAACAGATGTTTCTATCCATTTTAGTATGTGTTTTAGGTCTGGATCCTTTAATTGCAATTGCATGAGTTTGTTGTTCGTTAGTGTATTTTGTAAAAATAGTCCCGTCCGACAAACGCCGGTCAGTAGGACGCGCCATAATTACTTGTGTCAAATTGGGGACTTCGTTGGTTCTAGTCGGTGGACTCTTATCCTTGTCCAGCAAAAGCGGGTCTGAAGGATATGGTTCCCTAGTCTGCTGTATAGTTATAGCCTCTGAAGTAGGGTTTGTTACAGTGATTTCACGTACAGCAAGAGGAAGGACATCGTCGAAGTCATCCTCAAAACGTACCCACTGTGTCTGAATTCTTGTACAAGATTTGCATCCAGCACCAGGGAGTTTGCCGACATCGCACTCTCACTGAAAAGTTTATTCAGTCAATTGACTAAAAATAATAGTCATGCGCAGTGTCTTATTGATAGTTTGTCATGTATGGGTCATTTTGACGTATTATAATTAGTCCTGAAAAAAGTGTCTTATTTGATTTATTTCTGAAGTGATTAGTAATGAAAATTAATTAGTAATACGAGAAAATCAATTAGTAATGCAGGAAATTCAATGACTGATGCAAGAAATTCAATTAGTAATTCAAGAAATGTAATAATGGTACAAGTAATGCATTCACGGTACCTCGCAGTGTACAAGCTCTATTTTCGTGTTGTGTTTTGTCGTCTTCATCGTCGCTCACCCCAAAATTTCCCTAAAATTAACTGCCATCGTAAGTCAAATCTACAACATTCCGGTTCGTTTAAATATCACTATAGTAGTTGGGCGAGTCATATAACCTTTTAGAACGGTGCACGGTAAATACACAATCGCATTTAACCCCGAGTGGCATGGGTGGCTTGTGCGTAAAGCGCTCGCCTCTCACCAAGGTGACCACGGTTCGAATCCTGGCCGCGGATCGCATGTGAGTAGAGTTGTGCGTTGGTTCTCTCCTGTGCCACGTGGGTTTTTCTCCGGGCCCTCCGGTTTTCCTCCCTTCGGAAAAATCAAACACTTTCGATCTCAGGCTGTGCTCCGTGGTCATATGGGTCGATGTGGCCGGCAGCCATAGGCGCCTTTACGTGCCAGCGGCCTGACCACGTTGTAGCCGCGTCCTTCGCAATTCAGCATACCAGCTGCGAGTAAGGATGATTAGCCTCCCAAATTATTATTATTTACTCCAGTGCGTATTCTGGTGTGAACGTGTATACATAGCGGTCTGTTTAGGCCTAGCCCCAAACCATTCTTAAGAGCACATTAAATATTCAATCGAGTCTAGGTATAGGTTTTTCATACTGACTAGTAAAAGGGTCTGTCCACACTAACGGTTACAAAAGTGTGACATTTAGAGGGAACCATGGACAGGAGTCGATACATGAAGTAATATGTTAAGTTTTCCGTCTTTCTTCATCCAATATCTTGGTAAGAACATTGCCCACCAACAAGTTTGATAAATTTCTCAGGTTTCGAAAAATTACAGAGGATTATCTTTAAGATATAACATTCATAATAATGAGCCAGAGCCTTTTCGAGTCAAGAGTTCATGGGTACCCCCCAAGAATCGTGTGCCAGCCATAGAGACATACGTTCAAGTTATAAATTCCCAAGTCACTAACCCGGACAACTTCCCCCACAGGACTCATGATAATCTCCCCAGAGAGGAGCGCCTGGCTCTCAACTCCTTGCGCTCTCGCACCGACATCATCATCAAGCCAGCAGATAAAGGTTCAGCTGTGGTCATCATGGATCGTCAGCAGTACATTGACGAGGCCCACCGTCAGTTGGATAATCGCACTAACTATACCCGCCTTGACTCTGACCCCACAGGCACTTTCTGTCGAGATATACAACAGGTACTTGACGATATGCGATCACGTGACCAGTTGTCCAAGAAAGCTCACAAATTTCTTTCTCCCTCTGATTGTAGGACTGCCAGATTTTACCTTCTACCCAAGATTCACAAGGCTGGCAACCCCGGTAGACCCATCATCTCCGGTAATGGCTCACCCACGGAACGCATCTCCCTGTTCATTGACAGTTTTCTCAAACCCCTTGTCCCACAGATTTCGTCATACATTCACGACACCCCAGACTTCCTACGCAAGCTTGAAGGAATCAAGGACCAGATTCCCAGCACGGCCATCATTGGGACTTTCGACGTCTCATCTCTGTACACCAACATCCCCCATGAGGAGGGTGTTCGTGCTTGCTCCTTGGCTCTGGCCAAGGCAGGACACACGACTCCTCCCATCAGTGATGTTGGCACCCTCATGAGACTTATACTAACGAAGAACAATTTTTCCTTCCTTGGTGAACACTATCTACAGGTACACGGCACTGCAATGGGCACTCGCATGGCCCCATCCATGGCTTGCCTCTTCATGGGTGACCTCGAAGAACGCATTCTTGCCTCGGCCCCATGTCGCCCTTGGATCTGGTGGAGATATATTGATGATGTTTTTTTCATCTGGACCAGCGATGAGGACAGTCTCTTGACCTTCACTAACCACATCAATTCCTTCCACAGAACCATCAAATTCACATCGGAGTTCTCGGCTCACCAAACCCACTTTCTGGATGTCACCGTCCGCAAGCAAGGCAACTCACTAACCACTGACCTGTATTCCAAACCCACAGACACCCACCAGTACCTCCACTCCTCCAGCTGTCACCCCAGGCACTGCAAAACTGGCATAGCGTTTAGCCAGGCACTCAGACTCAGAAGAATTTGTTCTAATGATTCCGATTTCTCCCGCCATACACAGATACTGAGGAACAACTTGGTGGCCAGGGGTCACAGCTCTCGCCAAGTTCATCGTGCCATTGCCAGAGCTAAAGCTATCCCCAGAAATCTAGCTCTCACGGGAAAGGCCCCTGATGCCATGGCCAAACCCATGATTCCCTTGGTTACCACGTTTCACCCCAATCTCCCTCCCCTTCGCAAAATCACTAATGACAATCATCATATCCTCCATACTTCAGATCGCCTTGCCCGCGCCATCCCCAACGGCCCCACATTGGCTTACAGGCGTCCTCGAAATCTACGGGACTTGATTGTTTGAGCTGAAGTCCCATCCTTAGATGCATCCCCTCCCACCCAGCATGGTACTTTCAAGTGCAGTTCCAGATGTGTTGTCTGCCAGATTCATATCCAGGAGTCTGACTCCTTTTCTGGCCACTCTTCTGTCACTACCCACAGAACCATTGGTAACATCACTTGTAACACCCCTAATGTCATATATCTTATTTCTTGCAGGGTCTGTGGAGTGCAGTATGTAGGTGAGACTAAGAATACGCTCAAGAAGCGTTTCTATGCCCACCGGTCAACGGTCAACACCAAGAAACTAGACACCCCTGTTGGTCATCACTTCAACCTGCCTAACCACTCCATTTCTGATATGATTTTGCAGGGCATTGAATCTCTTGGCCATCGCAAGGACTCAGTTCGCCTCAGCAGAGAGAAAGTGTGGATGAATCGTCTTCGAACTATTCAACCACATGGTCTCAACATCCAACTTGGAAATGATTAATATTTTTCTTCCTCCATTGTCTTCTGTTACAGATAATCCACCTGGTCTTCATTGTTTGTGTTTCCCCATCTTTCCCCATCTTTCATCCCTTTCCACCTCCATACTGTCCCCCCCCCCGCATAATCCCCCTTCACTCCCACACTCTTTTGTCCGTTCCCACTCCCTGTGACCTTTGATCCTTCCCCTTTCTGGTCCCTCCCCTGTTCATACCATTCTCATCCACCCTCCCCTGCATCTTTCCACACCTTTCCCACCTAATCCTCCTTTTGTGTTTCTTCTTTCATCCCTGCATGTTTGTGTGCACCCCCATGTTAATGTATGTACCTCTGTCATTTCTGTTTTAGCCTCTGAAGAAGAACTTGCTAAGTTCGCAACGTCAGGCCACATTAATTTTTAGATTCATAATAATGGACAGACATTTTATTTTTAAGTGGTGGGAAGCAGTAAATGAAATACATGAATTATCCCAAATTTGTTCCTTATGTAAGGCTACCCATTGAGAGATTGCCACTGGCCAATCTCAGGTTAAACCTCTAGGTATTTTTAACTACAGGGTGGGCACATTTTCAAGACTTCATGTTCATAACAGGGACATAAATTGTGTCACAAATTTCTGTCCATGTTATGAACATGTTTCAAGTCGCATCACAATTTCATAAATACTTAACAGGTTGCTTTAATGTTGAATGATACTAATTCTTCATTGAATATGTCATAAAACAAGAACATATAGTATGAATCAAGAGTGTCAGTCCATGTTATAAACATTATCCTTCATTTCATCTTAAAGATGGCCGAGTAATTTCCTACATA